TTCTCTGCTCGTCGCGGATATCCGCAGCACGCTCGAATCTCCTCCGCCGATTCGTTCCCGGCCGGACGGCGGCCGCGATCGACACTCCGTGGAGGCAGTGGCACCCCCGTTTTTGGACTCCGCCGACTTCGCGCCCGACGCTCGTTCGCAGCGGACGAGTGTGCACGCGACTTCGGACTTGCCGCTGTCCAGCCGACGCGACGCGGTTCCGTGTGCGCGGACCCACACCCGCGCTCAAACGACGGTCTTATTTATAGCACGACGACGCGACGAAAATGAAATGCGGCTCGAAGCGTACCAGCTGCTGTTCGGCGCGCTAACTCGCCGCCAACTACTGCAGCCGCTCGGCCAGACGGTCGGTCGAACGCCGTCGCGCGTGGGCAAATCAATAACACGCATAAGCCCGATTAAGCCGTAAATCAATTCGCCCGGGGCGCCAGCCGGGACAAAAGCTCGGAGGTGCGCGCGAGATGCAGTCGAAGAGTAAAGCTCGCGCCACCCCACCCGCCGCCGCTGTTTTTAGCAAGCGGTGCAGTGCCGCCAACATTCTCGCGTCAGACGCCGCCGCTGCCGCCGACGGTTTACGGATCCCGCCAATATTTCGACGACGACAAAACGTAAACAAACTGCGTTCACGGACGACCCGTGATAACCGATAGGTGATAACGGACCGTCAGACGACAGACACCGATTGCCGCGGATAACTCTACTCTGAGCTGACCTGCCGACAATCTATTACACACCGAAAACCGCGACGACGATATCGTTTCGGATAACATCGGTCGAGAAACTCTCGTAACGAATATTATAAATCATTATTAATATTTCGTTGGTTTTCTCTCAAAACACTCAATCGCGGTTTGGGCGGGTACCGCGTTCGAGCGATAGAGATACTCGGGGCACCGTTTCCGAGCCCGCGCGCCATGTCCAAGTCGTCAGGTTCCAACGACTTGCGCACCGAGCTGGCTGAGCTCGTCAAACGCAAATCAGACATTGCCGTAAGTTTCTATTTTACGGATGATTCGAACGCGCTTCCGATTACCATAATTCGTAATCTACGCGCGCGACCAACGCGTCCGTTACGAATGTCTCTGCCAATATGTCGCCCGCACTTGCCTATACCATTATTAAATCTTACTTTCGGTTCGTTTACGAACTGCCGATTTAGCCTGGCTTAAAAGTCTTGCACCAGAGGGTGCATAGGTTTTTCAATTTTACCCTCTCGTAGTTGTACAGATCATGTTGCATGTGTTGTATTGTTACGTTTGTAACCAACCAATAAATTTTTATGTTTTCATAATCATAGCAACCGGCCCTAATCATTTTAGATTCTTGATATTATTTTTAATTCAGTACCTAGTTACGACAAGAAATGCGAGGATTAGAGCTAGAGGAGATACAGTACGTGTTGATACAACAATTTACAATAATAATTATATTGTGTTTACCGGTTGTATAATTGATGTGCACAAAAAGTTTATGCCTACCAATGAAAATTCATTTATAACTCGCGGTATTTATGAAATTAAAATGTTATAATAATAGTTATAAACACAATCCAATAGACAACAAAAAATACCAAATATTCTTTACATTAATATTAAACAGTTTCAATCCACTATTATATAGATTTGTTTGTACCTGCTGTATTCTGCATTAAATATTTTTAATTTATAAAAATGTGTTGCTACGTTGACAATTACATTTTATAATAATTTTTAACATTGATAGGTACAATAACTAGAATAGTTTTGTGAATTAATTGTTTGTTTGTAGAACTAATATTTATTTGTGGTTTTAGGAAACTTTGGCCAATCTTGAACGTCAAATTTATGCATTTGAAGGAAGTTACTTAGAGGACACTCATTTGTATGGTAATATCATTCGTGGTTGGGATAGATATCTTACATCGGCTAACAAGCTTCCTAATTCTAAAAATGAACCGCGTAACAGAAAATTCAAAGAAGCTGAGCGTCTTTTTTCCAAATCTTCTATTACCTCCATGGCTGTAAGTTTTATTTTCTTTAAATAATAAATTTAAGCTTAAGGTTTTTTTTTTAAGCTCTTACCTAAAAATTAATTTTTAAACTGCACTACAGCTGGGTCATTAAAATGTAATTTGTTATTATTTAGTAACATCTTGTGGTATAAGTTATAAGTGTTGTGGTATTAATATTATCATTGTTATTTTATGAAAGTTATAAACATAATTTCACTCATAAAATAATGATATACTTTTATGTTATTAATAATCAAAAATCAATAATTATTAATTGAACTTAAATAATTATTCCCTTGGTTCAATAAAAAACTTTTAACGTATATTATGTGTCACATAATATGTATTTTACTTATTAGTGAATAACTACTATACATTTACTTTTTACTAAAATAAAAATATTGTACTTAATTTAAAATTAAAATCAACAAAATCTTTAAATCCTCCTTCAGACAGCTATAAGTACTTGCTATACCTAACTATATTATATGTACTTACAATTGTGAAAATTTTGGTTTTCCAGGCTGTGAGTGGTTTAGTGGAAGCTCAAGAAAAAGGTATTAATATAATTATTGTATTTTATTAATCCATAATTAAAATTAATTTAATATTATAAATATGATATTTGTTATTATTAGCTGAAATAAACAGTGAAACTGAGTCACAAACAGGAAATAGTGGTAGTGAAGATAACATGACCAAAGAAAGTGGAAAATCTAATAATTTGACAAATGGTCCAACCACTCCCAGAAATCCTTTAGCTTCTGCCAAACGAACGTCTAGTACTAAAAAAGTTAAGAACCGATGATCTTCATTTAACAAACTCAATAGAGTAAGTATATAACTTCTACTTAATATAAATTGTAATACTACCGACACCAATGATACATTAAATACATTTTTTACTATTTTTATAATATTATTGTATTTATATTGTATTTTTACTTAAATTTTAAGTATAACTAATAAACAAAAATAATTAATTAAGAATTTGAAGTTAAAAATATTTATAAAATTTAAATTTTTAAACAATTTGCCTTAGTTATTAAATATTTTGCATTTTAACATCATCAGCCCACTATCTACTTATTCAAACATATATAATAATGATATGCATATTTATTAAAATATTGTGTATTAAATTAAACTCATACAAAATCTGTTTTTAACAAATAATTTTGTTTCATTCAGGTTTTAAAACAGTTCCAGCGACCGCAGTGAGAACGTAATGTTATGTTAATATTGTTTAACAAACAACCTTTTTGTAAATGTGTTATAACTATTAACTATTACAATTTTGAGCTTAGAATTATTTATTATTGTACGAAGATAATTGTGACTGTAAATTATTGTACAGTAATGTAAAACTAAAACATAATAGCACATTTTTTAACATAACACATTTAATAATCATTTATAATTGTATTATAAAATTATAGTTTAAAAATCAATTAACATTAATTTTAAGAAATGCATTAATAATTATAAATTATTATGTTTTAAAATATCTGACAAAAAACTTATTAATAATTTATACAATTAATTTAATTTTCATTAACTTTAATAAAAGCATGAAGTACATTGAATTAATCTTTAAATACTTTTTAATAAAACACTTAAAAATAAAATCAAAAATTAATGTGGCAATACTTATATATTTAATTACATTCTAAATTAACATTCCACCCAACTACAACAACAATACACTATCATCAATAATTCAGTTCATATCAGTTTAATATTCTTTTGATAAAGAAATACTGTAAAATACAATTTTTATCTATTATTATGTAAATAACAAACACATTTTTTAAAACACAATAACAAACTATAAATACAAAATGTAAAAAACAATAATTATTACTTTAGAATAAACTAGTTTTTTACTCGTACTTTGTCACTTAATATGTTTAATACGTTTTACAATATGTCAGTTAAATGCATAAACTAGAGACACAAGTTTCGAGTTGTTTAGTGTTAATTTCTTGTAAATTTTTGAATAGTTATTGTTTTACTATTGTCTTGAAATTTTAAGATTGTACAGATAAGTATAAAGTATTTTCAATGGTCAAATACATGTGGATTGAAGCACTTTTGGATTACAGTGCTATCTGCTAGAGACTAACGATTTGTATTTATTCACATGTATATATAAAAAAATTTAAATAATGTTAATAAACGTACATGCAGAGTACTGCATCCGATTAGAATTTTGCATCAATAATTATTGGTGGGTTCAGAGTTGAATAGAAACGACTGCGGACTGACCACTGTACTATATGTCAGTTTAACATTGAAAAAATATATTATAATCAACACAAAGTGGATAAGAGTGTTTGGATATTGTAAATCCAAGTTAAAAAATATATAACATGATATAATTATAGAAAATTAAAGCTATAATAATTAATAACAATTTACGATTACAATTTTTTTTTTCAGATAATTTAATTAATTAAACATATTAAATAATCGCATTAATTTTTTTCTTTTATGTCTCATAATTTTCAAATATCACAGTTGACACTAAATCTGATTAACTAACTTAACAGTTGTAATTACATGAATAAATATAAAATATTACCAGCTTATAACATTTTCCAGTCACAAATCACAATATATTAAATTTTCAATAAACACAAACTCAGGATGATATAACCACGTAACCAGAAGTTGACGCTGCATTATTAGTAAATCGTTGATGCCAACGGTTTTCTGCGAAGCAACGAATATTACACGTTAACCACAAGTCCACAATCAACTATATGTATATATAATTACATAAATAATACTTACGCGATATTAATACATTTGATCTTTCCTGAGATACTAACCAATTGATGAAATAAAATAAAAAGGGTATTAAAAGTACAATGAACGAAATGACCAGTAAAATCCATTCAGAATCGTAGTTGGGCACGTGACATTTGAACTTTAAACTCCAATCGCTTTGTGTAGTGTTGATCTACAATAGATCAGTGATTAAAAACATAACTTTCAAAGTAAATTTGCCAATCGATTCACTCACCAGATCAACGACATCCATACAAAATGTTTTATCATTTTTGTACGTATCATAGTAATTGGTTAAATTAGTGTAATATTGTTTGCAATCGGCACAAATTGTCGAGTTTAAAAGTTCCGTGTCATTCATGTGTTTTGATATGCACTTGTCCAAATCATCGCTGCGCGCCATCACTTCTTTTGCCTTGTCGTTGAAAACGGTACCGTTCAAACATACTAATAAATACAATAAAAATACTGGTTATATCACAAGTGTTAACGATAGGTATTAGTTTGTAGTAACTGCGTAAGTACTAACGTTCGCATGACGCCTTTTGCCACATGTCCAACACATAATTGTAGCTTGCGTACACAACTTGTAACCGATCGATATTAGTCAAAACTGCTCGACAGTCTATCTCACTGTCGTTGTTGTGCAACTGTCAAAGAGAAACAATAAAACAAAAGAGGATTAGAACGCACAACATGCAATTATTTCACAATCTTACTGACCTTTTGAATTTCTTTGTATCTGTTAAATACTTGATTGTACTCGTTCACACATTTCTCACAAACAGTGATCGGTCGAGCGTTGGAGACAACACACAATGTGAATCTGGCAGTATCGTTGGCAAACGATTGCAGTAGATTTTGACATCCGTCGGGCAACACGTTTCTAGAGGGACAAAAATTGAATCGAGAACAAAACAGAATCCGTTAGTAAACTATTTAATAAAAAACAATTCGCAGCTGTCAAAAATGAATTACGAAAAATGTCGACTTACATGGACTCGGGTGATGATGATAAGGACACTTCGGACGCGAATGACAGTTTTGCGTTCAAGTAAAATAAGTAAGTATAGAAAAAACAAACGATCTTGGCCATTTCTGATGATTTAAAATATTGTTCTGTTTGAATATTTCATAATTACGAGAACACTCTTCGGGTTAAAATTTTTCGCATTTGTCAATGTCTAAGAGTCAAGCAAATTGTACGTATTTCGTAGGTCTATTCAGTATTCACATTCTTTATTAACTGAATCGTTGAAGATCGCGGAAATCATTTTTAATAATATTGCGTGAATGATATTGTATAAAAAACAAGTGTCCAATATAGAAACAAATAAGACCGTTATCAGTACGGTATACGGATGACCTTCTATTATCACGGGCGTGATTCATAACATAAAAAAGTAAATAATACGATAATAATATTATTATCTATTACCGGTAAAACCCAAAATCGCAAATCATGAATTTTTTTTCGATAAACCAAAAGCACGAATTCATTTAGCGCTTTTGTACATTGGTAGTGAGATCAAAGCGCAAAAAAAAAAACATGGTACCCATTACACCATAAGTTTCATTTTAAAATTATTAATTAGGTATTCGTTTTAATTATCTACTTAAATATACAATAGATGGGTATTTTTACGGTTAATATGTCGTGATCAAGGTACAATCGATGCGTCCACTGTCATTTGTCAACCATAATAAAACAATAATCGTTTCCAGCAATAAATCAATCTGTTGATATTATATTTACGTGCAGTAAGTGATCGTGTACGCAGTACACTAGAATGGTATGGACAGGTCACGGTTATCTATAAATTATATCTATCTATTATCTGCAGATAACCGCGGAATAGATTTACCTACAGTATAAAAAGTTTAAAATTAGTCCCAAAATTTCGAAAATAATATTATATACAAGCCGGTGAAAAGAGTTTTAGTTCTAAATAAGGTAACCTTCTATTTATATTAATAACCTTGCTAGATACCTACCTATTACAATAACAATACTACATTTAATTGTAATTAGATAACTCTATGGGAAACCTTAAATTAAATTTTCAAATTTTATGTTTTTGACGGATTTTGTAGACATTTTATAGGTACTTTTAGAATTTTAAAAACGTAACTCTCATCACTTATATCACGAGAACAACTTAAGTGTGATCTTCTGTTAAATTTTCAATATTTTTAAATGAACTTAAACATCTTGTGATGCAACACTCAAAAACCTAAAATAAAATTCAAAATGTCTATAAATTCTCAACTTGTCTTAATATGTTGAAAATTTTATTTTAAATAAAAAAAAAATTATACATTAGTAGAATGTTTCAAATTTCTTTACCAAAAAATTTCAAATAATGTACTTCAATCACCCATAAAAAACTATGTGGCTTTATGCTGAACTTTTTTTTTATTCCTTATTCAAAATTTATAAAGAATCTTGTACGCAATTTCTAAAAATAATTTTTAAGTTTCACATGAACAATAATAACTTAACTAAATAAAACTAAGAAATAACATTTGCATACTATCACGAATTTCATAAATTTTGTAAAAATTGAACTAAAGTATCTAGGTACCGACTGGTTCTATAAAAAAAAAAAATGCACTCATATATTGCTTATATTTTAGAATTGAAATGAAAACAACTCGTGTGAGATCTCGTACTCTTTTCATTGAAACAAAATTCCAGTTCTTCCTGATTATTTTAAAAGTTCTCAATTTTTTTTCTTTTGACTCAAACAAATATCGTCATATCGACATACGAACCAACTTCAATTATTGTTATTTAACTTACATATACATTCAGTACTCACTTAATGTCAATAGTAATTCACGGAAGACTGAAAAAATGTATTTTCCAACAATCGTCAATTAACCGAAATTGAAAAGACATACAAAAGTGGTATGTGCGGAGGAAAAATAATTTCAATCTGAGGCGAAATGCTGCACCACGATTGAAAAATTTCATTTTCTATTTATGCTGCAAAATACACCTTATGGTCATTATCTTAATATATTATAATATGTATAACATTATGTATGTTATTGAAAAAATATCATGTGCTCGTTGTTTTATTGCAGAGATAAATTTGGAACACGAGGCATCATACTCGGTTGGAATTAAATTGTTTTCATACACTTTACGCTTAAATATTCAAACCATTTTTTTAAGCTTCTCAAGCGCCAATACATTATATAATATTATCTACAAAAAATAATAATAATGATATGATGGGTTTTTATCAATGTTCCGAGACCAATGGATCACAACATAATTGTGACAGATCACAAGCATATTAAAATATGTACATTGCACGTACCATGTATAAATAATATTACGCGTAATATATATTTTAATAATATTAAATTATAGTCGAGACTAGAAAATTTATTAATGGTCCGACTGGCAGTAGAATATTCCAATAGTGGATAGTCTCGGTGTAAAGATTAAGAAACACTGATTTCCAACATTTAAGGATGAACATTTTTTCCTAGATTGGTTTGTTTTACTGAATTCAATAACTTTTATAACGTTTATTAAAAAAAAAAATTTCAAAAAATTAGTACACAATTTTAAATAATCAAATCCTAATTATCATTAATAATTAGAAAACAAATGGTGGTGTAGAAGGGTGACTATCGACAAAAGTAATTGGTAGTCATAGGAACCTTTGTACTACTCTCAGTATATCTACAGATTTACAAAACACAGATAACTATGCATTTGTATGTTTATATCAGAGTAATATGACTAAAGTCATATTACTCTAGTTTATACGAAGTAGTCAAATAGTTAAATCAGAAAGATTACAAGTATAATGATGTATAAAGACAATTGTTTGTTTAGAACGGATTTAACTGCCTCATACAACCATAATATAAACATACAATAAAAGTTATGTTTGATATCTATGCATAATGAGTATCAATAGCTTTTAAATACATTCTGTATGCATGACTAAATCTAAGAACTATTTATGTTATAGACAGGTTTTGAATAATACTAGTGTAGAAAACTTAAAATATTTTTACATACAATTTTGAATTTTTAATACATAACAAATGTATATAAATTATGTTTTAGTAAATAAATTAATTACTTCAACCTGCTAGTTAATACACAGATTGTTATATGACAAATAAACAATAAATACTCAGTGAAAATGTAAAATACAATTTCATTTATGCACCAATTTAAGTAATATAAAAAAAAGTTTTTATTTTCTGATTGCTTGTAAAGTTATCACTTTGTATTTAAGCAAGGCACATAGTTCGTTATTGAAATTGAATTATTTATTTCATAAAAAAAAAAATGTATTATCTTTTATAGTAAAATCATATCTAAATTAAAGACTATTGACTTCAGTTTAAAAATGATATACTGTGAGAATTATTTTTTTTGTAAAAAAGTACATAGAATATTTAAGTTTCTTAAAAAGTTCACGAATCTAACTGATTTAGAATTGAATCAAAATAAATTTACTATACAATCAATAGCAAGATTTACATTTTCAAATTAAAATTTTATAATATTTACAAGAAAAAAAAAAAATTAAAAATGAAATAAAATTATTACAATTATAAATCTATTAAATGTATGATAACATTTATGCTTAATAATCAGCTTTATTATACATACAGAAAAACATAATACATATACATTATAACTAATAATTTAAACTGTTATTAATATCTTCAACCTTGAATGATAAAAAATTGTTTTTCATGTTCATAAAAATAGAATCATAATATGAAAAGGTTTTTGTGTAATGAAACAAATGAATACTACACATTTAATTCAAAGATCATTAAACTGTTCACTCAAATACACTCTAACTGTTCCAGAAAAGGGAACCTTAATTACTTTAGTTTTAGCATCAGGCATCATTGTATCTAGCAATTTCTCTAGAGCAGGAACTGAGAGTATATCAACGTTGTCTGATTTGTCTTTGTCTTTATCTTTTTCGGGAGCAGGCTCATCTCCGGGTCGCTGTCTGGGTTTTCTAGTCCTTAGTATAGGTATATTGTTAGTTGTTTCTTTGGTGTGAGATAATTCTAAATTATAACCAATACTATGCTGGTTTTGTTGATATTGAGTTATAAATAAGTCTGTAACACGAAGTAATTCATGAGTCAATCCCCAAACCAAGTGTGTTAATGTCTTGGAAAGTTTCTTGAGGCAGTCAATCAAGTGGCAGTTGGTAGTAGCAGACTAAAAGAAAAAATATATTAATATAAATAAATAGATGTTATAAAATTATATAATACATACTTGGCTCACATAAGCAGGAATAATCAATAGAGCTTTAATACCAAGACATTTTTCTAATTCATCTTCAACACAATTACTGAATTCTATGTTTATCAATTCCAGAATAGTGAGCTTTTCAAGACCCCTGATAACAGTAAAAACATCTTGTGCAAAACTTTCCCATTTACCACAGCAATTTTCTAATCTCAATGATTTCAAATTGACAAATCTTTTTAGTGACAATGCAAAATCACTTGGTAGGCAATCACAATCACCAATTTCCAAAAACTCTATGTTATCAGTAATAGTATCCAAACTCTGACAGATGTCGTTTGGAAATGACTTAATAGAGGTTAATGACTAAATAATAATAATAAAAAAAAAAACTATTATAATAATTTTTCAAAAATATTTAGTTATTTGCTTAACTTACAAATTTATTCAAATTTACTAAATTTCCAAATGATGGCAATGACGTTAATTTGATTCCAGTTAAACCTTTTAGTCTCAATTCAGTGAGCTTTGTCATTTGGCCTAAATAATTTAAGTTAAGGACCATAAAGTCGTTAGTATTTTTCGCTTCTTTTGTAACATTAGGATTTCTAAAAATAAAATCAATATTAAAACTCTTGAAAAAAAAAACAAAATTATTTTCTTTATTACTTAATTGAAGTAGCATTAAGTATTTCAAGTTGAGGTAACGAGTAAATAATATCTTCAACTACATGAGTAGGACATCTATACAATTCAATAAATTTTAACTTCTGTGCTCTTTTCATGGCTTTGGCAAAATTCAACCAAAAATTTTCAAATTCTTCAATTTTTACAGGTATTAACATTCGTCTAGTATCTAATGTATCAGTTCTTTGTTGATCAATAGAGTCTACAAACCTTTCCCAGTCATAGACCATAGAATTTTTTAAACGAACATTTTGCCACTAAAAACAATTGAATAAATTAGCAAAAATATCTTTAAAAATGCAATGGGTATACTTACTAAGAACTTATTCATTGCGATTATATGCCAGGCGGTACATACTCTAGAAGCTGATAAAAGCTCATTTGTTTTTAGATGTTTAAAAACGTGTCTCAAAGCTTTGACCATGTAATTGAATGATTGCATGGATGCAAAAGGAGTTGAAATTGCTCTAACTGAACCATTCATTTCAAAATTCCTGTAAAATTTGATTAAAAAAAAAACATTGATTTATAAATATTTTTTTATAGTTAAATTGTATAAAAGCATTTTTAAACATTTATGTTCTCGACCAGGCACATATAAAGACCACTAGCTTTAACATGCAAACAAAATTAGGCCTTAGAACATGTATGAAACAATAAGTAAATGACAAATAGGGGTTGAAAGGAATATAGGAAGTTGACTTTCCGCTCAAATCTGAAAACAAACATAATCAAACGATTAAAGCAGTAAAAAAACTAACATTTAACTTATACACATTCATACAAGCAAGACCAATGACCAACGCTACTGTGTGCCTGGTCCATTATTACATTCCCCCAAAAGATAGAGAAAATTAAATATAAACTTACTCATCCAAATTTTTGGGTTCTTGAATAACACAAGTCATCAAACTAGGTCCTCGTGTTTGTTTCATTTCATAAACATACTGTTCATGAAAACTACCATCAACCATTGAAGTTTTGTAAGCATTTCCTTGACATATAACAGTATTTAATAAATCAGAATCACTTTCATCACTATATTCATCTGTTTCATAATGTGGTTCTTCAATTTTAGGAGAAATTGGTGTTCTATCAATAAAGAAATTAGGCGTATCTGATGCTTGATGAACTTGTCGTATACGAATAGGTTCAACACGTAGTTGTTCTGGTTCAGTAGCACCAACAATTACAGTATGAGATGACTGTACACGTCTATTTCTTTGTCTCATAGTAGACCGACAGTTCTAAGTAAGAAATATTAATGAAAAAATGAAAAATAATAGTTTTATTGCTTAAAAAAATATAAAGAAAACTAAAAACTATTACTTACTATACATACATAACCAACAATTTTTAAATTAGCATTTAAATTGACACATGCTGGATGATAGTAGACCAGGCATTGAGCACACATTAACGTAGCAGGTTCATCACTATTGGGACACCGTATACCACAAGGAGTCTGCATGATGACTTCTCCATCTGATGTTGACAACCTAATTTTATCCATTCACGTATATGGTTTGATTGAGGAAGGATTAAATAGAAGGAAGCATAAGGATTACAACCCCTTAATTTTGCATTAAATTTATGAAGCCAAATAATAAACTAATAAGCAAAAAACTAATTAAGCAAAAAAATTAAAAATAAAGGCAATATGTTACCGTCTTTTAATGATTTTGCTATCTACATCAACATTATCAAGTTTAGGAGAAGCAAGGTTTGGTGACACACTAGATTGAATGGCTTGCCAGTCTTCAGATACATATTCAGGTGTAGATGACGATGTATTCATTAATTCTGAATTTCCTATGTAAAAATATAGATCATGAAATTTTAAATAGTATTAAAAGAAAATTAAATTAAAGCATGTATTATTTTTATATAAACATTCATATATTATTACAAAAATATTTTAAATTTTAAAACTAAAAATAAAAGATACACATGTACATATTATGATGAAATATTATAAATTATTTATATGCAAAAAAATCAGATCCAAGTTGTTTTTTTGAAGAGAATCGAGAGCATACTGACTATACTGTATTTAAATAGTATTTTATTTAAATATTTAACAGATAAATTGCTTTACATGTATATTTTGGAATTTTGCAATGAGATGCAATATTACTTGAGAAAAATCCATACTAATTTATTAACAATTGTGTGAATCAACGCTAATTTTTAAGAATCTGTTTAAATTTAAAATAAATTCTTTAAGAATAATTTACATTATTTTAAAAAGCAATGTCTGTGTATGTATAACTAAGTCTATTAAATAATAAAATTAAAATATATACTATAGACAGACAACACTAATACAATTATTAATTGCTCATTGTTTAATTTGGATTTGACTTTAGAGACTCATACTCCTATAATAGCAAGATGTGGAAAATCAGTATTTTTTCGTCCAATTGTCACCAGAGAATCAAATTAAAATATTAAGTGGTAAATAATTATACTCATTTTTAGACCATTTTTATACTTAGATATGATAACTTAATAAACTTTTATCTAGTGACATGCAATATCTCCTACCACTCTGATTATTCTTTCATTAATTTCAATTTTATAAGTTGAAGCAAAACATAGATTGAAGTATATACCTTTTAGTTAGTTCTTGATAAATCAATAGTAACTTATAATATGTGTTAAAATCAGATGTGTTTACTTAAATACAATTTAATGTTGATGTGGTATTTTATACCGCATGTCACTTATTACATATTTTTTTTAAGTACACTAATACTTTATATTTTTAAATATATTTTAAACAATGGATTCTTCTAAAATATTACATGTTGGTGATATTGACTTTTCAGATATTTATAAAAAAAAAGGCCCGAAAATTCTTACTTCAACTCTTGAGATTTTTTAGATTTAAGTGTTCAGTTTATTATTGATGCTGTGGTTCCCAGAGATGACCTTTAACAGTTTTTGATAAAATGCTACATATAGCCGGCATTAACTTTTTTGTATTATAATATGTATACAAAAATAATAACGTAATAGAGATACATATTTAAAAAAATAAGCATTTATTTTGGTCAAGGCAGAAATAGAAAGATAAGAAAATAAACAAAAACCTAATAATCTAGATTTGAAAAAAAAAATTTGACAGAAGCCAATTTTTCAATTAATGACATGAAGTAAAAAAAAAAAAAAACAGATAAAATTTGTCCACTAAAAACAAAAAGGAAAATATTTTACGTTGTCCTTTATGAGGAGATAAAAATATTATATTTTAAGATTTTTATTTTTTATTTTACATTAACAGTTAACCTTAATATGATTATTAAATTTAACTTTTTTTTAACAAAAAAATGTATATTCGGACACAACAGAATGTTCATAAATGAGTTTTATTAAGTTTTTATATTAATACATGTTAAAATAATTTTGATATTAAAGAAAATAAAAATAAAAAGTTTATTTAAAGTTTTTCATTAAACTAGATATTCTTTACCTATTCTGTTTTATATAGTGAGATGACAGTATACTCGTATATATTTTACACAAAAATTTTAAGCATAACCACAATTTTAAACGTATTAATATATCATACAACATTTTACTAGTTGCAGTACAAGAAAACCATGTCACTATTACTGTATTAAATACCTATAATAGTTTACATTTAAATAAATTTAAGGGATTCATCTATTTCATTAGTCACAGGAATTACTGTTCAGGTTCAGTAAGATAATAATAAAATATATTTATTTTTACCTTTTTTAGATCTTGATCTTGAGGTCTTTGCATTTTTAAAAACAATTTTCATTTTATTTGCTGACTTGTTGTTTTCATCATCTGACAATTCATAATCATATGGTGGCCGCTGCTGTACAGGTGTTTTAGATTTTTTAGGTCGAACAGCAACACCAACAAAAGAGTCCTCCTAAAAATATATGATAATAATTGTAAATGCTTGGTTTTCAAAGAGTTATGTGAATAAAAATATGAAAAGTACATGCATAAGAATGAGTCATAAAATTATGACTTAATATCATAAATGAGATTACTTGCATATAGTCAAGTCAGTTTTAAGTTTTTTATTACCTTAGATAATTTAGAATTTGCATCTCTGATAATTTCTTTTGATCGATCATTCATGCCAATTGGTTGTTTTAAAAAAGTAAAACTGTCTATAGTAAGAGAAGTTTTATCAGATGAGATGTCTAATTGTTCCTGAATTTCTCGCAAAGATCGAAGTTTTCGGTTATTTGGTGAATAGTAGTATACATCACCATTTCTATTTGACCGATTAATAATAGTAGATTCACCTGATGTTCTGTATACTAATTCTCGTTTCCATCCTAAAAAATATTAATCAAAAATAAAACACAAAACTATATTATTTATAATTAATTTACACACCGTGCTCAAATGGAAGTTTAAAAATAGCATCACTGATATCAACATTCATTTTTCTGCCTGTACTACGGCGCGTTCTAGTGTTAGAAGAGGTTAAGTTGAATGTTGGAGTAGAAAATTCTAAAACATTAAAAATCAATTTTTATTCATATTTAAAAAGCTTATACATATTATGAAACAAAAATCGAACATGAAATATAATAGATAATATTTGTTTATAGTATAAAATAATCTTTGGATAAAGTACTTAACATTTTTACCAAATGTTTAAATTATTATTTCTTTTGCATGATATAATTTTACAAACATTCTAACACTTTTCGAGCTATTTATAGGCATGACAATATTTGAATTATTTTACTATAAATGCAGATTATTCGCCGGATTTAAATTCACAGAGGTTTAATATAAGATCTAACCTAACTTATTTATATATATATATATATATATATATATAATATATACACACATAATTATATAAATTATAAAAATATATTAAAACATTTTTTTTATGTAGGTATTTTTAGTTAAAATATGATTACTAAATTTGTAAAAATTACAAAAATTTACCAACTAAAAGTATTTTATAATGAAAAAAATAAAATAAAATCATAATTTTTTATAACTAAGGTATGAAAATTTAATACAATGTTCATCATAAATAGTTTGTAGTTAAATTAAAAAATTATTAAAAACACATAAATACAATTATTTTTTTATAAAATATTCTTGTAAGTTAAATTTGGACAAATTAAATTATATAACTATGTAAATAATTTTATTTCAAAAACATTTATCTTAACGACTTAAATTTTTAAGTATGCTAATTCATTTTAAGATTATTATCTATTAATACTTTGAACCTTATTCACACTAATTTATCTTCACAAACAATACATTATATTGTGTTGGTATTCCTATACAAATTTGAATTGGCATTTCTGAATACCAAATGTCAATTCAAAGATAAGATTAAAATAAAAGATAAAATGTAAGACCGAGGTTTTCATAATACTTTAAGGCTTATCCGCATCTTAATAGTGTGAAACTTAGTCATAAATTACTTATTTATAATTTATATTTAAGAATTGATTAACTACAGCAGTATTTATTCAATCAAATAAAAGTAGATTAAGAATTCTAACATATCTTAATCTTTATGTCTTAATACACTTCAAAAAGTTAAGTTTAGGTGATGAATGATGAGTGTATTTAAAAAAAAAAAAGAGAATATTAAGATGTTAAAAGGAAATATCACAGTAGATACATTGAATGTGAATTATTTAAATGAATTGGGTGATTTTATCTATATCCTGATACATTTAATAAATATTTTTGTCACTCACCTAGAGGAATAAGCGATTCTGAAGATTCTAAGGCATTGCTGCGTGTGTTGTCTTTCTTTTGTCTTTTATTACTTCGAACGGTCTTATCGTTAGGTTCTGGTGATACTATAAATTGATTAAAAAATAATATATATTACATATTTATAAATGTTATAAGATATAAGAATAAAATCTTTCCAACTTACTACTTGATTTAGATTGTTTCTTTTTATTAACATGATTATTATTAACAATAGGTGGACCATCAGTTGGCTCATCTACTTCCATAGGTTCACCTGTTTCTTTACTAAGTTCCATTTTTAAAGCTAAATGTAATCAAAAAATATTTTTTTTATAAAATTTGTGATAACATTGAATTTGAAGTTGAATATATAACTAATTTAGTTATAAATAATATGTAATAAATCAAAAACTTACATTTTTTCTTATTTTCAATAATTATCAATACTTCATCATTAATATCAAATCCAACAAAATGCGCTTCTAGGTTTAAAAGATTGTTGGTTTCCTAAAAATAAACAAATAAAATTTTTTTTTAATTAATCACAAATATTGTTATAATATTCAATTAATACAATAAAAAAATTATTTTTTTATATTTATTTTATAAGCTAATGTAGACTAAATTTTACAAATTTAATAAAATTGTTTTTATATACAAATGAATCAAGTTATATTAGGTTTGGTTTAAAAGTGAAAAAGATTCATTAGGTTGACATTATTTAGTAGGGTAAGTGAATGTTAAATTAAGACCAATTATTTTCCAACATAGTTATTTAATAAGAATCAATCTGCACTAAAATAATACATACTAAATTTGTTACATTGCATTTTTGTATTTCAATTCATAATTTTTTCTTTAACAAAAAGTTTTTTTTACAGAAAAATAAAGTATATATTTAACTTACCATTAAGTTATTCATTTTTAAAAACCATAATAATAAAAAAAGAAAATGTAATAACTTAAAAATTGTTGAATAACTAAAATGGATAAGAAAAATCTTTCGATGTACAGTTGTCAGTACTCAATAAATGATAGGTAATCAGTGATACCAACATAGAACTCATTTTCTATATATTCTTAAGCAATATATTTAAAGGAATATTGAAATTTAAAAGATATAAAATGTTTAACTATATAGTAGGCATATAACAAGTGTTTTATTATATTCACAAATAAAAACAAAATGCTATACAAAATTTTAAAGATTTACTAAAACGTTAAATAAAGTTAAAAAGGTAATAAAAAATGAAGCTTAAGAGAGTAAAAATTAAACGGTATAAACTAAAACTTAAGGAATTTTATTAGGGCTTTTAAACTATTTTGTTTTATCAACTATTTTTTAACAAAAAAATGTTATTGATGATCCAACTGTATTAGCACAATAAGAGTCTATTAAATAAACCTTTCTTCTAAATATGTTTGCCACTGTCATAGTCCATTTAAGTTATTTACTTAAACTTAATAATTATTAGTATCAATAAAAATTATGTAATAAATAGTCACATAGTCTTGTTATAAGACTATGTATTTAAATTTTTATATTAAATGTATCAAATAATTTCTAGATTAACTACAAATTTGAGTTAAATCATAGAAATCCAAAAACAAAATTGTATTTTCATATAATAGCATATTTCAAGGTTTAATTTTTATTTATATGCATGTTTTTCAATATTATTGAAAAAATTAATTACTTCTAAAAAGCCTATTGGTAAATAAAATATAAAATGTATTTAGTTGTAACTGATGGAACCGTAAATCTTTGATGAAAATTTTAATATTAAAAAAAATATATTATTTTAATACTTTTATATTTATATTTTTATTAATAATTTAAACTTATTATTTTGAAAGTTTTATTTTTAAATATATATAAAATAATATTTTTGATTACCACTAAATAAAATAAAAATAAAAATGTAGTATTAAATTTTTTTGTAGGTATATTTATAAATTTTAAAAATTAAGGTCATATTTCTGTATTTTTTTAAACGCAAAAAATACATAGATATTTTGTTGATTTTTAGTGCCAAAACTTCTAGATTCTTATTAATTACTATAATATACTTAACGTAACATGTTTTATTTATCTACATATAAATAATAAAATAGAACATTAATTTTAATCTTCACAATTAAAAATAATTGAAGTTATTGAAACAAAACTACTTTACCAAGTGTCAAATAGCTTTAACATTAAACTTCATTACTGCAAAACTCAGAATTCACCATCGTTTTCAGTTATACTGAAGTACATTTGTTAGCAGAAAAAAATTGAAAAAAGGATCACTTGGTAAAGTAGTTTTATATCAACTTAATATATGTTTAAATCATACTGTCAAATTAGGTATTGTTAAAAAAATCAATGCTACATAGTATAAGTAATTATAATATTCATTAGTGATATACAAAATATCCGTTATTTACTTTTAAACCAGCAGATTTCTTTCTCTCCAAATTATCCATTGTTGGTACCTAGAATTATACAAAATTACAATATTATTAATATTTTATACTAAGCTATACAAAATAAATATAAATTTAAATGTGATTTTCTTGGAAAACTAAAACGAGTAATAAAATTAAGATATATGAGCTTAAAATAAATTATTCAACACGCAACAACCAACTTCAGAAATCTAAATTGATAAAATACGCATAAAAAACATAAAATATTCAAACAAATATGTTAAATATGGAAAAAAAAAACTCTTTAAAATTAAATTAAAAAGGTATGATTTATAAATTATTTGTTATATAATAGTAAGGATGGGTTCTTAAAAGTACAAGACATTTGAATGGTTCAAATTTTTAGAAAAATTAATACTCAACATTATATTGAATATTTAAAAATAACATTTCAAACAGTTTGAAAAATTAAGTTTAATATGAACACTAATACAAATAGCTGTATTCTAAAATATTATTATTAGTTCTAGTATTTCTCATATAGCTCTCTGGAGCCTTTCATGATTTTAAAACAAAATTTTAATTTTAATTCGTGAATATTTTAGTACAACCCTTTCAATACATGAAAGTATTTAAAAACTATTTATTTATAAAAATAATTGTCATTAACAAAATGTGGTAGAAAATTGGTGACAAAAAAATTAATATATTGTGCACGCCACAAATAACATCATATAAATATATACTTGCCATAATAAAAAGTAGAATTATTAAAAATTTGTACTGTATTGGAAAAACTGACTTCATTACTACTTTTTACATATCATTAAAGAAAAAAAATAGTTTTTTAAAATATATTTAAAGTGGAAATAAACAAAATAATGAAGTTATATGCAAATTTTTTCTAAAATTATTGTTTAATAGAACATATTAACTGAATTAGGTTGTTTTAATATTAATATAGTTACTAATGCCAGGTTAAGTAATTCATCTGATTGAATATTTAAAAACGACAACTCACACTAAATGCAATTTATTATGCTAATAGTGATAAATTAGATACTGGTATTATTTTCATATCAAATATTTCTTTCTTATAAATTATTACATTATTATTCACGTTGATAATATGATTGTAAAACGTAAAGAATACTAATCAATACCACTTTGCAAATTATGTATTAATACAGAACTAATATTTATTATTATAAATGAATTATTAAATTCTTAATCATAAAATGTTTTGATATTTAATAAGCAGTGTTTGAAAATTGATAAACTACCTTGATTAATAATTTATTCAAGCCTGTTTCACGAGATAGAATATTGCCTAGTAAATTAATAATATAGGTATTGAAAAATTACTGAAACTGTGTAACAGTTGAACATACCAAATAAAGCTGTTTATTATGTAAAGATATGAATAACTTAAAATCGTTAGGTATACTCTTATACGATATCATCACTTTACAAGGCAAAACTGTGAACACACATCGATCAATTGTATTAATTGTTCTATCAGACCCTATAATTAACTCAAACACAGCGACTCAAAAACTTTTAAATTAAATGGTTAATGGAAGTTCCACTCCAAATGCCCCCGAAGAGTTGTCATGGATACAATCATTTTTTCTACAAAAAGTACATATGCTAGACTTCATTCACCAGTGGATAAGTAACATGACGTTCCGGCGGGCATTCTGCACACAAAAGATAAGTCTTCACTCTTCAATAACAATATTCGTGTCACACGAAACATATCGTGGGTATATTATGAACATAATTTTTTAGTTATAGAACATAGTATGCCCGTATACATTACTATAATAATAATAAAAAACTACTTATAACCGCAAGTCTGCAGCTATCATGCGGATACGTACTTGTTTGCAATACAGGATGTGAAGGCAGGAAACACACGGATCACGTGTGGTAAGCAGGACAGAGTCGTCCGAAAATCGTCGTTCAAGAGACTACGAACGCCAGTTACCCGGGAAACGCGCTGCCAGTCAGATTACATGGATACGGATTTCGGTGGGACGACGAACGGAGACCTAATTACGATAACATGCGAGCAGAATTCGTATCGCGGGTGCCGTTCGAGAAACCGATAACAATATGAGAGAGGAAAACACGAGAGCACTACATTCGGTAAATATACGTCGTTAACGCGTTCGTTTGTCGATCAGTGGATCAGTGGATGTCAACAATCAACAAATAAATCGCGGGAACCGGTGATGTACGAGCGGGGAAGAGAAAAGACAAGTGGTAGTATAGTATGGTTGACGGTTGTGCTACGTGATGGCAGGGCGTCGTATGAAGATCGCGGGGATGACGCTTTTAGCAGCAGCCGAATCCTGGTTTGGTAACGAGAAGAGGTGGTCCAACCGTTTTTTTTCCACGCTATTTGAGGTTATGTAATTTTTATCGGATAATTATTCAACTAAATTCAATAATCGTTACCGCCAAACACAGAATTCATGAATGAAATATGGTACTTTGTCATAGTGATATTCACTTTTATAACAATTCAATTTTCCAAATCTAAATCATCAAGTAAACGCACACAACTCGTTTTTAACCTCAAATATGTTCCCGGCGTTCCCGCCGTTGACTAGGGTTGTTTAAAATTAACTGAAAATATTTGTCATCGCCACCAGAACGGTCGTGCGGCAGTAGGTAGTAGGTACCTACCTATACTTCATACGATTTTCAAACGTTTATACATTTTCCATTAATTACTGTTTATTCAAGACAACTGTATAAATAATTCAGGTTTATTTTTGCAATTCAAAATATATATTGGTTACTGCAGTGTCTTTTCAATACTTACGAATTACGATTAAATTTAAATGTACGAACTATGAAGTAGGCAGGGCCAAATTTACGCAAGGACAAATGGGACATTTGCACTGGGCCCACTCAAAATGGGGGCCCACCGATTTCAGGCATATACAAATTTAATTCTTCACATTTTTATCACACTTTGGGAAAACAAAATAGATTTTGATTTTGCTCGAATATTTTAGTGGGTTATAAAGTATAATGAGATTGCGACTGTAGACTTGTTGTTACTCGTTGGTAATATAATAATTGAAAAACAAAAATAACCGATAACCGTCGGCGGGTCGTTCTGTATACTGTATACAACAACCGAACAATTATAAAAATAAAAATAGTTTATTATGAAAAATTATTTATTTTTTTTATTTTACATAATATTATATAAAATATATACAATGATGCACAATGAGCATATTTGATAAGAGCTATAATAACAATTATGAAAAATAAAAATATGATATAAAATCCTACACAGTTATTATTGTAATACTATTATTATTATAAATTATTATCGTCATTCGTCGTAATATTACTATTGATGTTATTGTCTTGGGTTGTTGCGTGGTGCATCTCAGACTGAGTTTCGTGATATACGCCTGTAGTATTTAGTGTATATTTTTGTCATTTGTTTAATATTCTTAATAATTTAAAATGTCAAAAAAATATAAGAGTGGTTCAATGAAGAGAAAATTAAAGGATAAACAAGATGAAGAAACAAAAAAACTACGGGGTAGTTTAGATAAATTTACATTTAGAACAAATTCATCTACTAACGCACAATCGCTAGGTAATAAACTTTTAATAATAATGTTAAGTCATACTCTTATATTATGTACTATTACTTTTATAAATTAACACGAATTATTATATTTAACAACAGAGATGGACAATTCTGGGGCCCAAAAAAATAAATTGTACTGGGCCCGTGAATTGGTAAATCAGGCCCTGGAAGTAGGTAATGTAAAAAGAACAATAAGAACAATAAATACTGGTCTTCTGCTTTTAAATAAATTTAAAGATTAAAAAAACTATCGTGTTTAGCTAATGAACAATAGTTGTTGCAGCTAAAGTGAATTATGATCAATAAATAATTAAAATAAATGTATTCTTTTCATAATAAACATTAATTTGAATAAATTTCAATTACTTCATCATTAGCTTTATGAAAATTTAAGATTTACTTTTATTTAGAAATGGCAAATTTACAACTTATAGTTTTAAACGTTTTAGTAGGTACTTTTAGTTTTATAATTTAAAGTTAATTTATGCTTCATGTGTTAATACTGACTACTGAGCACTGGCGCCTGACATAGTGGTCATTATCATTGAAAATTACTAATTTGAAAATAAATCTAATTTAGCGTCCTCGCGAAATTTTTTTTTGGAAATCTTTGTATTTCAGTAAGTTAAGAACGATATTGCAAAAATAAATTGGTGTAAACTGTAAAGTAAATCATTAGTTTTTAAGTTACAACCTTGCGAAAATTACAATTTTTGATAGTTTGCGCGTGTGCATAACGCTCTATTTTACCGCGCTTTTATGAATTTTTTATTTTTTTTTTTTTTTTGAAACCTAGATAAATCGGGACCGGTCCAATGTGTGATCTACCGATAAACTGCTATCTACGATAAAGCGTTATAGGTAGAACGTGTGATCTACTGAAAACATATTTATATTTTACATTATAGTGCTATACCTATATAATTATCGATATGATATGGATTTTACGACTGTATTGTATTTCTAAAATACATCATTTAAACATTCCGTTACCATTTAGCGTTCATTCGTGTCATTTCGTTTGTTGGTCAATTTTTTCAATTTTTTTTTATAACTAGTTTTGTAACGATTTAAATTTTAAAATGAATTCTATTACAACAATGGGTTATTTATTTAAAAATATAATTATTGATGAATTGAAATTGAGCTCATACTCAAACAATAGAGTCGTTGTGGAAGTTAGTCAAGTCTAAGTATAATATTAAAGTTAATGGTGCATCTCCACTATTAGACCGCCAACTTAAAGAAGAATGGTGGCGGTCATGCCACCTAGTACAAACTCAAATATTTGATGATTTTTTATCAGATTTAAAAAATACTTTTGCAGTATGGACATAATATATAGTTAATAGTTAATCACACATTGGACCAACCATTTATTGGTAGATCACACATTGGACCAGCCGTTTATCAGTAGATCACACATTGGACTGGTCCCGATAAATCAATGTTTAAAAATGAGCAAAAGTAAGTTATCGGAAATCAATAGTTTTTAAGTAATTGAATTATGAAATTAGCAATACTCGATGTTTTACGTATTCCAGCATTCGTACAACGCTCTATTTCACCATATTATTGAAACTTTTCTAATTTCTGTTTAATTTAACTAATCGAAATCGGGGGACCTGAGTTGCGTCTCATGAAAAAGGTTACAAAAACTGTAATAGTTTTTTTTAATAGTTCCCATGCAAATATTTATACATTTTTTGATGTTTTAAAGATTATTAAAACCGACAGTATAATGTTAGTTAGAAGCTCGTTAATTTCTGTACTTCAATATAGGATTAACGTCGAAATAACATTTTATTTGTTGAAAATCAAGTAAAAAAGTTAAATAAAAGTAAAATAACTAAGTAAGATTTTGTAAAAAGCTTATATAATGAGTATAAACATAATTTTTGATTGAAATTTTGATTAAAACATTATTATTATTATTATTATTAATATATGTATTATATTAGGTATGGACTATATTGATTTTGATTATATCTAAGTGATTTAACGTTTATATAGTTTTTTATTTAATTTGATAATAATTTTTTGATTGATTTGTGATTATATATATAATTGTTATTTATTTATTTTTGTTAGTTTTTTAAGAACTCTAACACCTAACGCGTATTAAAATACACGAATCGTGTCTTGGATTTTTTGGAACGAAATTCGTGCATACCTTTTTTAGGAAACACAACTCATATGCTCCCGTTGAAATTAATGGTATTTTCATATCCAATTGATGTGGTTACTAGCTTGGTGCGCTCGCTTGAACCTTTAAAATCGAAAACATTTCTCGGCTTATTATTTAAAACCACTATAATTTAGAGGTCTTGCATTATGAAACAATACAAATTATAACTTATAAGTGATTAACATTGATTTTCCTTAGTTATTTTATACAATTGTAATTTATAAGTATAAATATTTTGAATTTAGTGATTGTAATTGTCTTTTAAATATAATTTAGTGGCCCCATAATTAATCCATTTAATCAACTTCTATTGAAATTCAACATTCAGTCTAGTAAAAAATCAAAGTACAACTCAACAACTCAGTAAACATATTCCTTTTTTCTCAAATGTTTTCTTGTTTAATAAGAAAAAAAATGTTAAAATAATCACCAAAAATTACATTATGATATTAATTAGTACTTTCGTGTTTCATATCATCTGGGATAATACATTGATTATTATTTATAAATATTGTATATTATTAATTAGTGTATATTTTATAGTTAAACATTTATTATAAACCTTGATTTAAAAATTAAATTTTTAACAAAAATTATAAAATTGTCATTGTTAAATATTTTTGTGAAATAATATTACTATATTAAGTATGTATAAACAAAGGAATTATTTTTCTTTTTTTTACAATTTTCATGTGTACAAATAATAGTAATAATTGGTATATTTTATATTTATAAGTAAATCATATTTTTTTTAATTTAATTTTTTTTTTTAAACTTTTGAATCAAATTAAAATATTTATTTATGTTAAAATTCTTCAATAGATGAATACATTGAGGATCATTTAGAAAAATAGATAACTTCTCCAAGACTAGTTAAACTTTCTGCTTCACTTTCAATTTCTTGAGTAGACTGTTTCAATGAAATCTATGTGAACAAAAAATAATAATAAAATATTAATATTTAATAATTCACAAAATATGGTTTACATCAACATAATAATTACAATGTCCAATTAGATAGTCTTAATATAGGGATAAAGGATACATTGAAGGGATGCAACTATTCAAAAAGAAACTCTTGATTTTAATCACATTTATAAAAAGTACCTTTTTAAAAAAATTTTTTTAAGTAATGTTGGTATATACTTAAATTCAGATTAAATTACTTACTTTGTAAAAAATAATTATTTATTTTCAAAACATCTTTATTATTATTTTAATTTTATAAAATTATATTAATAAATTTTTTGAACTTGATAAAAATATTATTATACAAAATACTTAGTTTAATTGATATTATCATTTCACTATTTCACATTTTGATTAAAATATGCTTTTCATTTTATTTAATATAATAATAGATATTTATTTTATTATATACAATTTTTTTATTTTATGTGCATTTGTGTAGACATTAAAAAACTATTTTTATAATAAGTATAATACTATAAGTCTTGAATAAAGTATAAATTATGTTACCATTTTATTAATATAGTTTTATTTTAGAAATATTCATTTTTTTAATTTAAAATTCAACATTTTATTTACATCATTTCATACAAAATTTAAATTCTGGAAAAGTGAGTACTTAAGTATGAATGGATTAAAAAGTTGGGTTGCAAAAATGTACAATTTATATGTAAATTACATTAATAATTTTGGGTACTTATTGAAATTTTAAAATGAGAATGATGAGATTAACATTGATATTACTAATTAATAATTAACATACGAATCTAGTGTCCGAAATCAGTTGTAACTACATAATAAAATTAAAGATAGTAAGTAATAAGAATTATTAAAATACAAATGGAATGTTCAGAATATTTTAAAGATCACAGTACTCTTTTCTTTATCCTCTTGCTTAATCCTGCTCAAAGGGAGAGGGACTTAAAGATAGTAGGCAACACTTGAAGTATTATTACATATTTATTTTTACAATTCTATAGATTAGGTACTAATATCTATTTAATGAATTTTTAAGCCAATCAATTTTTTTCTTAAAAGATATACTTGAGTTTTTAAAGTTATAATATTATACCAACCACAATAAAAGATTAACAATAAAAAATATTCAAAAAAATTAAAATTTATGATAATATTGTTTGTATTTAGTATTTGATAGAATTTATAACATTTGTTTTTGGAGATATGTAAACAAGGTTAGATTTTAAGGGGCTCTAAGTCTCAGGACAATATAAAATGAGGATCTCCATATAGCAATTTCATTATTTTACATCTAATTATCTAAAAATAAAACATAATTTTAATTAAAATTGAAATTTGCAAAATAAATTTAAATCACAACTTCAATAAAAATTTTAAATCATTGATATTTTCATAAATTAATAAATATCTAATGAAAGCATAAAAATGAAAATACAAATAAGAACTTATACTTAATAGGAATTTGTATAACAATCATTTTCAAAAATTATATTATTAAAAATAGATAAAAAATTTTAATGACTCAAAGTAAATTATCATATCTAGCTCATTAAAGTATTTAAGTGTGTTTTAAATCGTTAGATCATTAGATTTTTTTTTTAAGTGGTTGAAAAATGTGCATCAAAAATCTCAAAGAATATTAATATATATTTTCTAAATATAATTTTATTTATTTTTTATTAATTATTATAATTTAATAAAACAATTTATTAGATGGAATTGAAAAATAATGTCCATAACTAAGGGTTTAAGAATAGGCCTACCTGGGTATTAATATACCTAAATCAGGTCCTGCATAAAAACCATTAAGTTTTTTTCGAATTTGTTTTAAATAAGCTTATATACTGAATATATGCATATATTTTTCATTTTATTTTTTTCTGGAAATTCTAAAATGATATCCAGAAACAAAGTTTGAATGTGTATCAAAGAATTAAAAAGCACAACTTTTATTAAACATTTTATTAATTTTTTTGATATTAGGGCGTTTTTTTATAAGGCATTTTCCATTTATTTACAAGTTTATAAATATTAAATTTATATCAAATTATTTTTCCTAATTGTGTACTACAGGTTTAATGATGAAAACAACAGTTGTTGTGAACAGTTAATTGCAAAGAATTTTACAATTATTATTGAACCTTTTTATTATTAAATGATAAATAATTTGTTACTTATAAAATAATTCGAGTAATCACAAAAATTGGACAAGTTATATGGCTTAAATTAACTATAATAAATATTGAGTTATGATTGGGTTTTATGCTATAAAGTATATAATATGCTTTCGTTTAGATAAATTTAATAATTTAAATGACATAATATTTTACAATTTTTTATTATTATTTAAGTATTTTATTGAACAAACATTTTTTTAGTACATAAATAGTATTTTATTTAGGTGTTTTTGAGATTTTTTTGAACATTTAAGTCAGAACCTTAGTTATTACATATTACTCTTATAAGTCTTATAGCATAACCATTAGTTACATTAAATTATAAAAATAAAACACTGTGAAATATTATAAATAAATATTAAATTAATAACTATAAAAATATTAAACACAAACAGACTAGGTATAAATACAACCTACATTTCTCAATTAATTACCATTTTTTCTAATTTTAAGACTTAAGAAAAACACAATTAAAACTTTCATTTAATAGTTAAGTAGTAAAAATTACCAAACTAGCACTTATTAGTAATTTATAATTATTTTTCATTATTTCTAGTCTTATAACAAAATTAAATAATTTTAAATGCAATTATAATTTATTATTACCATTGAAGAAGTAGTTGAATCAGCAGAACTTTGTATTTTTTTATCTATGTGTACTTTATCGGTTTGTTGATAATTATTAGATATCGATGATGCAAATGATAAAGAATTTAATTGCCAATCTTGTATATTTGATTTTAGATTACTATAATCCTTACTAGTATCATTGATTGGCAAATGTTCATCATTTTTAATTATTTCTAATGTGTTTTTATCCTTCTCAAATTTAGTTGATTGATTGCTTTCTAAATAAATAATTTTAAAATAGTTTTTAGTTTTTAAAAAAAATTTATAAAAACTTGTTAATATTGTGTCATTATTGATTTTATAAGCTGTATTCATACCTGAATTTATCTTCAAACTATTTTTAGCTTCCAAATTATATGCATCAGTCGTAGTTGTATAATCATCATTTTCCTATTTAAAATGTTTATATTTTAATACAAGTGTTAGACTCATCACTCATTATTTCTTTGGTAAAATAATTAATCAAGAAAATATTAAATACAATTGTTTACGTTATTATTTTGATTTTCATCTTCTGATAGCTTCTGTTGATGTTTTAATATTATACTTGAATGACTTGATTGAGGTTGAGATGATACAGAATCTTCAAATAATATACTCTGGTTTTGAATTTTATTTTTAGATTCTAATTGATGTTTCTAAAAAAAATATAGTTAACAATTTTAAGATACATTGGAATAGAATTACTTTAAAATGAAAACAAACATAACTACGATAAATATTTTTATAGTAATTTATAGGTTTTAAAGCTATATAATTAAGAATATTTTAATATTAATATAATTTTATTGTTATATAATGGAGTTGAGTTTGAAGTATTTTTTTCTGAGCTTGATACTAGTAGGGGGTAGCAAAAAAGACCAATTTAAAGAACAGTTGATGTACAAAGTACAAACAATATAGTTAGAACGAGTTTGAGCTCAATGTAAAACATATTTTGCATATGCAACTTGTGATGTTCCTGCAAATGTATTAGATCCAAAACAACATTTCAAGTAAACTTTTATTCCTAATTCGCCTTGGATCTCTAATTGATATATCTCTATGCAGATATAAATTCATGGTAAAATGTTTTTATTTCTTTAAAATATTTTAATACTTATAATTACTATGAAAATGTTGTTAAGAATTATAACTTACGTTTTTGAGATTTCAAGTGTTGAATTAAGTTCTAATATGAATTTTGATAAACTTGAAAAATTAATTTCATTGTATAGAAATTGTAAAAAGAAAGAAAATATCACTTTAAGATAAGGACAATTTTACTATAAATAAAATTATGTAAAATTAAATTAATAGAAATATTTTTTAATATTTTAGATCTTATTTTTAAAGAATCAAATACTAAATTTGTATCAGATCATTTAAGTCCAGATCTTCAGTGATTTGATGTTTAATTGAAATAGTTGCTAAAGCTAGGTACTAAAAGTTCCTGCTGATTTATAGATCATAAATGGTTTTTTTTATAGTTTTTAGTTCAAATAGCTTTTTTCTGTTGAAATTACTATTTATTGGTATGAAATCTAGTAATATAATTCTTAATGCCATATTGCCATGTAAATGTTAAGAATTATTTCAAAATTTATAAAATATATTAACTATAATAAATAAGTTACCTATTAAAAAAATATTCACAAGCATTTAAGGTTATAGGGTTTTTTTTTATAGAAGTGTAATAAAAATGCATTGTTTTATACACATTTTATTTTAATTTTAAAAAATTAACTTGCTCTATTTATTTGAAAGAAATTTTAGTGGCAACAAAATGCTATACTATTTACTAAATTAAGAAATCCTATAGAGACTTTTGAGTTTTAATCTTGACTATAAGACTATATTTAAATATTTTGTTTTAATTATTAAAACAATTTAATATTACACAAAGACAAAATAGATATTTTTACTTTTAATTGAGATATATTGTTTTGATTGTTTAAATTATTTTGAGCCTTAAATATATTTTGACTTATGTTGTCGTTGGAGCATAATGTAATTTGAGAATCATATTCCTTTATCATTGATGAATTTTTAAACCTAAAATAAAATATCATACATAATATAAAATCTAAATACATAAGTAATATAAAATTACATAAACTTTATTCCATATTTACTGAGGTTCTTACATTTTCAAACTTGAGAAATTATAACCATGACATAAAAAGTCTTTTATACTGACACGTCCAGTTGATGGTATATTATGATAATCTGTAAAAATAAAAAATTGAAAAAATGTATTTACAACCTATATTTATATTATTTTGTAATATTGATATATCAACATTTTACTTTTTGAGAATAAATTATTGTTAGGATGATGATTTTTAAAATTTTCATCATTATATGTTGTAGTGTCATCAAGTTTATTATCTGCAGACAAATTTGGAAATTCCACTAATGGATTCAAAGCCACAATGGTGTTTTTAATTTTATCCAGTCGTTTTAACAATTGATGAGAATTATTTTCAATTTCTACGGACATTTGGTCAAATGCAATTTCTGTAAATTTTTTTTATTTAATATAACAAAAAAATTATTTTTATTTTATATCTTTGGTAGTTACCATCACTGTTGTTCTCTACTATATTATTGGCTATATCCATTATTCTGTTTTTTATTACTTCATCGCTAAAACCAACCATACTGTGTTCTTCAATAAGATCATCTACTTCAGTTAAACCATTGTGCTCCAAAGACTTTGTTTCTTCCATAATCATTATTATTTTCTGTAATTGGGTAATTAATTTATCGCTTAAAGGATAGTTAGACGTATTCTCTAACATTCCACAAATAGTTTTAAGTATTTCATGACGAGCAACTGTTTTGTCATGAGATATTTTTGGCTGAACCACTGAATGGCATTTGCAAGTTTCCGGTTCTAATCCAAAAGCGAACTCTTGATAGGCCACATTAGGTTTATAATTACTAAATAAAATATTTGAAAAAAGGATTATTCAATAAAATGTTTTAATTTAGATAAACACATCGACGGACATTCAATAATAACTATTGTCATAGCAGCATTTTTGGGAAGTGATACATTGGGATATTGAATAATATTGTTTCAGCAGTACTTAAAAAACCAATCGAAATGGACTATAATGCTCTAGCATTTGTATTTTTAAATTTTTAATGATATCATATGAAGTAGCTTGAAAATCCCAATACTGCATCTGCACAAAGTGATATTGCAGAGAACTTTCAAAATAAAGTAGGTACTCGATATAAGTTGTTAAAAAAAATTACATTATAAACAAACATTTTCCAATCGTAATTTAATAAAAATATGTCATTATTTATATTTTTGAATAATTATAATAGGCACAAGGCATTTTTCCCGAAACCACGGGAAAAAAAATAAATACGTATAGAATACAAGTAAAACTACAATTTACTGCTATAAGTATAACAATAACACTATACCTAGCAGAACTATATAAAAAACGCGTTTAAAAGGTTTTTATAATTTTAATAATTCTTACTGACCGTCAATGTGTTGCGAATAATTATTAATATTTTTTTACCGTAAAAGCTTTTTATTATCTGGATTTATTTGAATGTTTGCTAATTTTTGAGTGACTAGATCCGGTTTTAAATTAACACAAGGAATTCGCTGCACCATTAATTTGTTTACTTTATCATCATTAGTATTTTTTCCGTCGGAATTATTATCCTCGAAATGCACATTCGTTATACTAACGTTATTTTGGGAGACATTTTTTAATAACTGTTCAGTTGATTTAGAAGAATTGTGAACATTTTGATGAGGATGGTTCGTTTTACCTAAATTTTTCGAAGAGTGGTTAAAATGAACATGTTTTTCTCGAGTTAAAGATCTAGGTTTTGAAATTATTTTTGGATTTTCATTATTTGTATACATATTTTCACCCTGAAATGTATTTTAAAATAAATTTAATTCATATTAATAATTAAATTAAAACATGAAAAAAAAAAAAATAGTTCAATTAAATTTTTAATCATACCAATTTTTCTTTACAGCCAGGTTGAAGTTTCCGAGTGATTTTTGATGGAATATCTGGAATATCTGCATATATATTATCTCTATAAATGAAAAATATTTCATTATTCATAAATTCACTTATAATGAATTGCTATTTACAATTTGTAATTAATATTTACAAAAATCTATAACTATAATTATAATTTTTGTACAGAATTATATGCATAAGTTTTTTCTTTAATTATTAAAAAGAAAATTAATTATACAAAAATGAATATTAAGTATTATATAAATCGCTTATTTAATTTAAGCATAATAAAAAATAATCAAGTTTTATATCGATACTATTATACCTTCATACAAATTATATTTTATAATAAATAAAAAGCCAAATTCTAGAATATTATTTTATTTTTATTTCCTATATTAGTCGTATAAATTAGGGTATTATATTTACATTTAAAATTAAAATAAATAAATAAATCAATAAATTTAAAGTTCGACAAAAACGAAATTTGATTCATTCTAAATTTAATTTAATTATATCAGCACCGGCTTGAACCGTTTAGAACGGTACAAATTCCGTTAGCCCGCGTTTGGTAAATCGTTCACACAAGTGTATTCGATACATTTTTTAATTTTTATGTACACTAAATCTTAGTTCGTATCTTAATGTTAATTTAGTTTAATAAGCATAGGTATAATATACTTGTATAATTTTATTCAATTAAAAAAATAACCTTTTAACTATGTCACTTGTGATATCTGCAGAATGACATCTTGGCAATACTTTTTCATGTATATTTTTTAAATACAAATCAGTTTCTCTGGCCTTCTTTTTTGCTTTATAAATCAACGTAGATGCATTCACAAAGTCGTTCTTGACCATTTCTTTATTCATTACATTATTCGTACCAAATTGGGATTCCTAAAAATTAACGAATAGTGTTTTTTATTATTATTTCACATTAAGACATAGTTTTTATTATCAATTATATATATAGACGTTTATCGTTTAATTATAATTTTTTAGTACTACTTAGAAGTAGGTAAGTGATATACCTTCAATTTTGAAAATGTGTTGAATTTATCAGACACTGTAGTATCTTCGGATATTGCACATGGTAAATTTATGTTTTGGCTTATTGTGTCATCGCTGAGAAAATAAAATATATTATTTAAAATTAAAACAAAATAGTTTATGGCAATAAATTATGTCACAGTATACAATAATACTATAAGTTTATAAATAATACGATTTCGTTATCCATCATAATTAAATATATCAAACATTTAACAAACAATTTTTTAACCACTTAAATTCATCTAGCAGTGCATGATTTTATAGATTAAGTAACCCACCACCCTCAATAGGGTAATTCATTCAAAAGTGGACGTTAGGTCTTTATCTATCTACTTGTACAATTTATAAATTACCGTTAAATTAATTATAATAATATAGGAAATATCAAATATCTACAAATAGTTTAATCACTCATGCATTTAATAATATTTGTGTATGTATAACTTCATATATTTTGTTTATTTCATTAAAAAATTATCCTAATTAGTTATCAGCAAGTTCAGATGATTATTATTATCAGTGGAATTTTAAATGTATGATAATAATTATATATCTTAATGAAATAATTTTTTAATATATATTTATAATAAATATAGCATTGTAAGGGACTAGTGGGCAGTTTTTTAATTGACAGTGTATATGTGTATTTTTAAAACTAGCCGACATTATGTTGATGCACGCGTGTGACGTAGTTATTATAATTTACGTTATACGTATTATAAAATACGTTTTCTCAACAGACGCCAAAAATTTTTTTTTTAATATTATTTTTTTGATAAAATAAAAACGTTTATAAAAGTTAATCGAGTAAAAAACTTTAGTAGATCGGAACACATGCATCCTGCAGTTCGCAAAAATACTATTATACATAAATTATGTACGCGTGGGTGGTGATAGCGATATATTATTATTAAATTATCAATGGGCGAGCGTCAAGTGAAAATCGTCAACCACGCGGAGATAATTCACTATGTATAAAAACCTACTATAAGTTAATATTATCATAACTCGTTTCCGTAAGTAAAATGATAATGCGATGAATAATATTACGGTTCATCAGGCGCGTACTCATAACATAAGTGTGAGTGTAACTGTAAAACCGTGTTAAACAATAGAAACCATTATATTATATTATATTATTCTTGTGGTCGTCCCGCGAAGGTCGTTTGACGTTTACATTTTAAGATTATTTACACATTTCAGAGCTTCGCACAAAACACACTCACACATATACACTCGAGAATTCGAGACCAATGAACTCGCAATACAACGCTCGGGAGCTTGACCTCCAACTAAAAGGCCTCCTCCATACGTTCAGTCGATCAATATAATATAAAATACGACTCCCGCGTTTTATTTTTCATACGAAATTCATTATAATAAATAACTGTGACGTCAAACTCCCAATAAATTATCCATGTCACTCGCTGTAAGGCATACAGGCATAATGATAATATATTTATTATCAACTGTATTTTCGTTTACAATAAATTCAATATTTTGTCAAAACAACCCTGTGTAAACACCCGTCAGTTTGAAATCTAATCTTTAATATTGCACATAGGATAAATACGTTGTTTTTAAACTATTGGTAACAAGGCGCATCGAGTATGCAATTTTAGTGCATCGACATGTGTTAAATAAGCGAGTCGATAATTAAGGTACCTAGTACCTACCAATTTTACTTAAAAGGTGCCATATCGAAATTCTTACCTACACGATAAAATACAGCGTTATTATTTCAAAAATGTCTTAAAATTTTATGTTTAAAAAATGGAAAATATAATTTGTTTAGATAAAACGCTTATCTGTTTTTTTGTCCAAGTTAATGAAATAATTTACGAATTAAGTCTGGTTTATGTAAATATTCAAATCATAGAACACACTGTACATAATACGTAATGTTTTGTTTCATCAAGTCCGTGTTTTCATGTGTTTAAGCAATCGGTCACGAAATTGAGGTGTAAATAAATATTATTCTTAAATATACTATCTAGAAGCCGAAGCTATTTATATATCGATGCGCAGTATAACACGACGTTTGGAAATCGATAAACGCCATCCAAACTGCTCAAAGATATATCATTATATATACATATTGTTTGCCCAGGATGACGGCCTTTTCTCATTCGCCAACACAGACCCCGCGTTGTATTGATCTTGCGAGACTTCACGGGCGACCGCGAAGCGCCTGTGTCGCTGCGAAACTAGAGTTCAACGTATTCCCACTTGTTAATTATCACTGACTGTTGGAGGACGACCAAACGTGTACTCGGCGTTCAATCGATATTATATATTATCATTTATACTGTACCTTGATAGCAAAGTATAAGAAAACAAACAGCGTAAACATATGATCATATCGCACATGGACCGCGGACGTGCATTAATTCGGGTTTATTGTTTTTTTACACATTATAGAGATACCAATAAACAGTGTAATGTCTGCAATAGTGCAGCTAGGATCGAGATCATAGTTCGCATACATGACATGACGTGTCGAACACGTATATCATACACACGTGTTTTTTTGTTTGTGTATCGCAATCATAAACTACACCAGTCGCATACGCGTATAATAAACATAATATAAGCTTCGCACACCTATTATTGATGACTTTATTGGGAAGGTTTATATTATGTAATATAAAAAATTTAAGTCTAAAAATAATAGGGCCATTCCATCTAAAAAGAAAAAAGTGATAAAATAAAAGTTCGTATTTTATTGTCATCATAGTATCAATTTTGTTTGATACGTTAAAAAAATACTGCATACTGTACACACACACACACACACACACACACATATATATTTATATAATACATTATATTTAATGAGAGATGATAACATTTTTTTTTTTATTAATTTCCGTTCGATTTCACGGGAAAAAAGTACTTTTAAATATCATCGGTGCTTACCACTTATAGACTTGGGCTATGTATCTATAGGTAATGTGCAGTATATTATATTGTTTTATAATTGTTTCGATATCATTAGACGAGGAGGTACGTTTTTGACACATACGGGATTGCATTTATAGTGGAGTAGAGTACTCACAATATCAACCCAGACCAAAGTTGACTTTCCATCTATCTCTCTATAATTAAAGATGCGTCTATTTCCGTCCAAAAGGTCCCGATTGCGCCAAGAATTTCTAGGGGAGAGGGGAATCCGAAAAACTTGCCGTAGATACATAAATTTATATATAAACATACATACAAGTTTATAAACGGAATCTTGGGGCTGGAAGCCAAAAATGTGGCAGTGACGTAACCCCACAAACAGCCAGACGACGATTTCGCTTATATGCACAGCGCATCAGTACGACGCACGCGCATAACAACCACTAGTATTTAATAATCAACGAGTAAATGTGCACGTTATGAAATACAATTAATGTGTTTAACTAATTTAGGCACTTAGCAATATATTTATATGTACAATATAGATGATATAGAACGTGTAGGTCTCATTGGTATAATATGAATAATGGAAGGGGACAGGGGTACTTAGGGTAAGTGTAAGTCCACCGTCCCCCAAGAATATTTAGTTTATTTCTATAAAATTTACGAATAATATGATTTATTATATTCCAATAAATATTTACCGATCATTTATTATTTATTTACTCTTTTTACGTATTTGAAGGCAAAATGTAGCAATATACATGTTAAAAGTTGAAATTTATTCAGTATTGATAAAAATATCAAGCCTTTCCCAAAAATCGACCAAATTTCTGCTAATGGCAGTTGGGTCACATTTTAACAAAAGAATACGCCCAGGATCGGTGATTGTACTCTGTACATCGTTGTTGTGGTTAAAAAAAAGCGTGAATCCGTTGACCGCGAAAAACTGCAACGGGAATTTTAGCGTGACGTCAAGGCTATACAACTATTGGATATAATAGTAATAATGATACATGGTCGTTTTCCCGACATTCTCAGTTATCGCAGTCCAGGAAACGGCGACCCGTTTCTCCTCTCATTGTAGAAGGGATTAGTGGACGTTTGTACGTTTGAACTTTACGCTTGCGCGTTACATAAACGCATTTACCGCGAAGGTACTGTAGCTTATTTCGCGTAGCTAAGCTTCCGGATTCGAGATTACATTTAGACCGCATTATTCATACTATAATCAAACTTGCGACTTGCATATCGCTTTCTAGGGCTATACTATTGTATATTAAGCATAATAATAAAATAAGTTATATTCTATACATAATATACTGTAGGACCTAACAGATAGAACAAAAACTCAACGTTATCGATTTATACATAAAATACCTATTAGCATAGAAGCAATACGATTAAATTTTGACGATATAAAATTGTAAATTCGTATATACACACATCCCTTTTTTGTTGTACTACAGTAAACTATATGGTGTACTATATAAATTTACAACATATAATAGAGTAGCGCATGTAAAGAATCACCTGTGCACAAGCACCACATGATATAATATATTATAGTCTCAATGATAACTACGGAACAAATAAAACAATAGGCATACCATTGAATATAGTAGCGTGAATCAGTGTATCAAATCGTTTCGCGCCGAAAATCTCCAAAAGAAAGGTTACTCCACAACTGTATAAAAAACACGCCGAACAAAATGCTGTAATACTATTGAGCGTCGTTGCACAAATCGACCACCATCAGACGCGAATTATCGTTTAATTTGCTATTGATTTCCGTGCGCTGTCCCGACCGTTCACGATTTTATACAAACGTATATAGTACCCGAGTAAAAAACTATACTGTATGTATCTCGATATGGTCTGCCCAACGGTTTATAATGACCGCAATTTCCCCGTAGGCCGTGACGTAAAATCGATAAAATGCCGAAACACGTAGTACCTACCGCCTGCAGGACGCTATGACTATTTCGTACAATTATGCCGTCATACAATAATCTATAGAAATTTACGAACCATTCTCGCTTTTCTACGTTACGGTTAATCCGCTACAAAACTAATATAGTATTAACCATTATGTATGGGTACACGTACCTGACGTACCTACTATACACGAGTTCTAACCCATAAATACTCGGTACAACTTATATACTTTTACGGACGTGACTCATGATACGTGATTTTTAAATGATGCACGACTATTTTAACCTGCAGCGTTTGAATTGGAAATATAAAAGAAGATGAATTCTTAGACATAAAACAAATTATAGCGTCTTGAAACAATTTGATTCAATCTACTTTGCTCCAAACCCACACTCTCCAACCATCAGTTCTCAAACAAATAATTTATAATACCTAAGTATTAATTAATTTACGTAAGAAATAAATTTAATTAATCAAATGTACCCACATTGATTTATTTTTTATTATAATCTATGTCTATAGTTTGCTGTTATACCTAGTCGAATTCAGTCCAAGTAGATGTGTGCACGGAGGAAGGAGGTACCTATTTATGATTCTGTTACACATTATTATATATTAGATACGGCTCAATATCAAATTGTTTTCTTGTTAATAAGGGATGAGGTGCAACTTTATGTATAATAATATTAAATTGTATGATTAGTCAAATTAAATTTGAGTATCTAAAATTAAAAAATTAATGTACTTAGGATAAAAAAATATTTTTCAAATATAATGTACCAATGCAAAAATAATTAATGATAATACTCTCTAAAACGTTAAAAAATAATAATGAATTTCTTCTCCCCACTTTTTCAAGCACTAATTATGTTGACTGAGTAGACTGAAAGATTTTAGTGAGAGCTACTCTAAACGAATTTTGACACTAACCCACGTTATCGTCGTAAAAAATAAACATTCAAATGTAATATACATAAATTTGTGAACTTCAGCAATTAAAACATATAGTTCAATTGTTTCCAAATTTCTCATATAAATATGCTATAAATTACAATAATACACTAGTTATCGGTGTGTATTACTATATATATTGTACATCTATAGGTACTCTATATTCGATAAGGGACATGAAAGTATTGAGTATTGGTTATAAATATAAAGGTAGCATATTATACGTAAATACTAAGAGTATACATCTTATATTAAAACAGTATATTGTTATTTAATTATTATTAATAATATTTATTTTTATTATTCTTGTATATACTTAAGCATTATTCAAAAAAATTATAGCACGTACGAAGTACTGTCAAATAGAATTATAATACAGTAAGTATCATACCTTACGATTGAAACTAGTAAAATTCGTTATAGTTATGACTTCATCAGTTTATGTACACGAGTGTAGATGAGATAAAATATAAACTATAATCGCAGTTATGATACACGTGCCTATGAGTTGTCTCAGCAAAAGATAACATGATGATTACGAGAACAAAATATTCTTCTCGAAGATTAGATTATTGGAAGTTAGAACAGAGACAATCAACTTTTATGTAATCAAAACGAAAACATTTTGTCGAGACGTTTTTATTCGTGGTAATTCGTATGAAAATATGGCGGCGAAGAAAACAAAAACAAAATCTAACAACATGAAACCGAAATATTTTATTATCATGACGACGACAACCTCTACGTTAAAGTCAACTCATGTATTTAACACGTAACAACAATAATGATATGACATACCGCATTGCAATAATTGTTTAAATATTCAAAAACGAGGTCAACAGAAAAAAAAAAATAAAAAAAAAATTAAATAAAAACCACACATCATCATCGAAATGTGGCGCACACAAAACTCGAGTTCGTATATAATAATTATGTACGATCACATTCACACATACGCATTACACAATTATACGTACGTGCGGGTTTAGTACTATACGTCTATACCTGCTAACGATATAAGTGCTTGACGTCGACGTTTTAAATTTATATCTGTGGTCGCGTTTTCTTCGATGAATGTTGTGTTCTAAAAGTATTTGCGTAAGTAATTATAAGTTACGGATAGAAAAAAAAAAAAAAAAAAATGCGGGAACAAATATTGAAAAAAAAAAAAAAGCAGCTTGGTAGGTCGTATAATAATAATAATAACATCATCCGAAATACGGATAAAGGTCATATTGCTCGTCGTAAATAATAAAATTACCTGTAAATATTTAAATATTAATGTCGTTTTACACCGGCTGCGCGACTATACCACGGTCGAGAAATAACCCGGCCAATCCCCGACGACGGTAACATCATAATTTATACGGAAAATATAATAGCGCGGGAAAAACCGTCGTCGCGACCTGGCTTGTTTATGTACGCACATGGCTCAGACGAGTGTACACGTGCGCAATGTTGCGGCACGAGTTGCCGCAAGTGTAAAAGGCGCGCATATGGTACACGACGACGACAATTTACGGTAATCGATAATGTTCGTGTGGCGACCACGTCGTCTTACCGTTGGTTGTCGGTACGGTATCGTATTAAAACGGGTAGGTACGTAAAAGTACAACAATCATTACCTATTGAAATCGTACGGAGAGACGTCTTTCGGGTCTTATGGTCATAGATTTGGGCACCGATATTGGACATAAAAAGTAATTGAACGTGGTACACCGTCTAAAAACGATCGACTGGGCGGGTACCTAATCATTATTTATTTTTTTTTCAGTCGGTACCCATAGGCTTTCAGTAGGCCGCGCAGTCGGTAAAAAGTAATAGGTATATTATAATACACATCGACAAAATAAAAATAATTTAATCCCCCAGTACCGTTATCGACGTGAAAACGTTAAAACGACAATAAAACGGATTATTCCTTATTATTCGGTTTGCCGTGACGTAATGTGTTAATGACTAATAAAAGACGGAGAGACAACTTGTAATGCCGGTAACGAGTAAATAAAACGTCTTCGACATCATCACATCGTACAAAAAGTACAGGACCTCGGGCGAAGAGCATACTCACAAGAGTTTAAACTTTGAAATCGTATGTACACGACGCACTAACTAATTATTCATCGTTTTCGTGAAATTAAACGTGCAGAGAGGCCGTAGTACCACATCGTATGAATATGTGATGAACCATACACTAGGACTTAAATGTCCTGCGCAAATACTTTTGATCGCGTGATCAGTTTGGTGCGTGCACTATGCAGTATAGTGTATACTGTATACCCATTAGACGAGTGCTGCTCCAATATAAGGTAGTCTAAATAGATGTTTAAAAATAATAATTGTAGAACATGGTTGTCTTAATATAGTCTATTGGCTGATAATGCTGATACCGTATCACAATTCATGGCCGGCAATTAGGTAATCAAACAATAATTGAACACTCAAAGTACTGCTGACCGTCGCTATATCGGTCTATTATTATTATCGGACATTTGTACATGGCGTTATTAAATACGTTCGAGAAGCTTCGAGTATCTACCATTTAATCGTGAACAGTATTCATCAAATTATTACATTCACAAGTCATGATTTGAAAAAAAAAAAAAAGTTTGCTGTAAAAACCGTTTTTCTAGAGGCGAGTAAAAATCATAATCGCATGAGATCAGCGCCCTCACGTCGTTGATAATAACGTCATTTAAATACCTGCGGCTACCGGCGAACACGTCTTTACGTCATAAAATTATATAAAGGGCACAAAAAACTGCGAACAGTGTGTAAAAAAGTTTTTTGATTCCACCGTATACAATCATCACCATTATTTCAAGCCGTCCGATACGTCCGCCATGGCCATATCGATTGATGGGTACACGACTAGGGTGTCCGGGAAACGAGAGCGTCGGTTCTAACGTCATGCTGTACGTAATAAAAAAAAAACAGCAACAGCCCGGCAGCGGATTCGACCCTTTATGGTCCGCTTACACAATACACATATTATGGCGATGCCGCCGCCGCCGCCGCCGATCAATACCATATACGTACCAACCCCTCCCCGGTAAACGAGACTAAAATGCCTTTTTCGCGTGTACCCGACGACGAGGGCCTTCAACCCTATTCACGCGAGTACTGCACGATATTAAATTAGGTATTGTTGTTATAAACACAGGAGAAGGTCTTACCGTGAAGCACCGCAAAGTCAAGTCGGGGTGACGTCACTCGCAAGTCTCGCGTGTGGATGATGTGACGACTATACACTCACTATGCGTACACTCGCCGTCAGTTTTCACGCACGCAAACGCAACAAACACCGACCGCCCACACTGTGTAGTATCTCACGATCGCTCGAAAATATGAACGTTTCATTTTTCATTCATAGACCATTACGCGATGTCGCCGTGTAAAGGCCAACGAACTGACCGGATGCAATCTGGGAGGAAACGGTATTGCGCCATTTTCGTCACCCGACAATGTCGAGGAACAATAACGGTTTCGCTTAGACATTGGTTTATCGAGAGAATCTTATGGCACGTATTAAAATCTTGTCGATTATTACGCGAAATTCGATTATGAAAAAATATTAAACCATGTTAATAGTAGTAGAGTGCTGTAGAGTGGAAAACTCACAAGGGTTACGGGCAGTCTTACGCGTAGGTACACGAGACGACGCCTAAAATATTTAACGCGGACGACATTTGCACGCAATCTTTTTTGTAGCCATCATGTGGGCGAGTTTTTTTATTCACGATTTCAACCGAGAACAACAGTTGTCGCATAATATGCAGAATTAGCTGCAGTTATAGCCAGCAACAACGAGGAGCAGGAACGTATTATTTTTACTACGATTAAGTACCGTGGATTTTATAACGCGTGATGATGAGCGTTTTAGAAAAAAGCCACAAAAATAAATAAAAAATAAACATTGTTTTATACAACATTAGGTATATACAATAAACTTATAAAGTGTTGGTAATAAAATATTAAACGTGTCCAATGATTACCGATTTGTATTTTTATTATCATTTTATTTTTATTTAAACACATTTGGGAGAGGCGGCGGGTGGGAGAGAAACCACAAAATCTAGTACGATAATATTTTTGATAAAATATGTATACGTACGAGATACAAACAAGCGAGATTGTGAGTTCCTTTACAAATGATCTCCGTTCGAAAACAATGTCAAACGTAGTTTCAACGCTACCGGCCTAAATATTAATTACAGGATATATAGTTTAAAGCTACAAAACAGTAATATACATTTTGTGCACTTAAGATTTATATATATTATATTATACATATACTTGCTTGACTAGCACAGTCTTGAGACCGTTTTTCTTAAAAATGTAAAATACAAACACGACTTGACTCAGTCTTGACGCCAAAGATTGCTTTCTTTCGTTTCCCTTCGATATCCCGTCGACGACGGGATGTCGAAGGAAAACGGCAGGGAAACAAGAACATAACGAGGTTAAAATTATTCTAAATTTCACCTAAAAAGTAAAAATAAAGGATTGCCCCTACGGGGACGTACAATACCGTAGTAATAACTATTGGCATTTTTACGTAACGTAATAAAATTATTTTATACATAATATAATATACAGTGGGCTTAATAAATAAATGCATATTTTACATTCGAGGCCTCGATCCTTCCAGGCCTATAAGTCTGATAATCTGATAGGATCCATAGGTGGTGAGGTTTCATATAACATATGATTATGTGAAACACATTTACAGTATATAATATGACATAATAATAATAATAATAATAAAAATAAAAATAATAATAATAATATAATTTATGAGTCTCGTTCTTTTTTCACTTTGAATTCTTCGCCTAATATGGTGGCTATTTCGCCTTGCATGAAAGCCCAGGGCACGTTTGAATTTGCCAGTGGACATTTATCGCCACTCGGACAATACACCTGCAATAACAAATATGCACACAAATTTTAACACCGAAACTAAAACACAAACACTAGATATTCGAGGTCGTGGATTTACCTCGGAGCCGGCCCCCTGTCGCTTAATGCTGTCTCTCGAGCACGGGAAACAGAACTTGTGATGGGGAACGGACGGACACTGGACAAAGTGCGTGTCTTCCAAACGCTCTTGGCACAACGTACACTTAAGCGTGGCCGTATTTGCGGCTGCGGCCGCTGCAGCCGCCGCCGCTGAAGCGTTTGTCAGAGGCACGGAAGCCGGAACTTGCGGTAACGTCGGTGCGGCGGCATCCATAGGGGTTCCGGGCGCGACGCCGTCAGGACCGCCGCCGACCGGAACAGACGCATTTAGTGCGCTCCCTCCGCCGGTGCCGTTGGCGGCTGGACCTCCGACGCCGCTCGGGCCGTTGACGCTCGGACCGTTGACGCCTGGCACAACGGCACCGGGGGCGCCGCCGCCATTGGCCTCGCTCGACGTTACAGTTGTGGAGCTGACGTGACGACTTCCGGATGATCTACGTCCGCTGGACGAACCGCCTACAAAACGCGACTTGTTAAAGAAAAAAAAAAAAGGACGGCAAATCAACAAATCTACTTCAAGCAAAAAAAAAATAGTGTACGGAGGTAGATGGAACGGAAGTCTCGTGGAAAATAATAACCGAAAACAGCCTTAGGGGGCTGAGGGGATCCCTATGAAAAAATTATATGATATATAAATGCATTTTCTAATTTTATGATATTTTAGCAGAAATCATTATGATTAAAAAATAATATAATACAAGAATGTTTTATGAATCATAATAATTCATAAATTTAAATTATTAAATATTTTTGAAAATGTGATTGGATTTTATGACAATGTTATACAATACTGTAATATGATAATACTGTAACTGATAATTATCCAAGTTAACTTTTTATTATCTATATTTCCAAACTAAATCTCAGATTAAAAGGTAAGTTAAAAACTATTTCCAGATTTATTTTCACCGAGACCTTATATCATGGACTTTTTTTCCTATTGTACTATAGTATGTAGGTATAGCGCGGCATGCGGTTTCTATTTCCACAGCAGTCGGTTATAACATAAGGTTTACAACAAATGATAAAACAAAATCTAAACATTTAATATTCTAATTATAGACAGGAATTAAGGAAACGAGACATTGTTTGAAATTTTTGTTTAAAAAAAAAAACATAAAAAACTATTTTTTTTCTTAAGAATCAATGAAATTAATCCCAGAGATCAACAGATCTTTGTTAGATGAAAGATCTCGTTTTAATTTAGTCGTAACGAACGCAGAAGGTGGTACACGGTTACACATTACACTGAAAGAGCAGTTATAAACGAGAGGATCTAAAAAATACCTTTATCGTGTTTGTTATTGTAATATTAAAACAGCGTAATATTTTATTATGATTATCGGTGCTTTTTTGCATTCTTATACAGGTCATAGATGTAGAAAAAAGTTATAGCATACACTTTTTAACGTTCTGGTTTTTTATTCCATAACGCCGAGATAATCATTCTCGACTAATTTACAAGTTATTTTTAATTTATTATGCAATGAACCCGCTATAAGTTTATTCGATTGTGTAATCATCGTTTATGATTATGACCATTGATTAAAAATGCACGTGCGCAAAAAACAAGACATGCAATGTCCCAGGAATTCCTGTAAACGAGCTAGGAGATTTTCTTTGTTTTTTCATGCTTAACTTTTAGTTTTTAAATACGCCGATATAGATACGAATCGTAACGAATTAACAATTTAGACATTTCACCGTTGTACCAACGACTACGCGTAGTCCGGACAGATACTATTTTAATTGAATCGAAAGAATTTCCTAGCAATGTTGTGCCGGCTGCGTCGAATGTGGCGTGTGATTAGATAATATTATGGTACTATTTTCGACCGACCGTGTAAGTACTTGAACTATGCGCGCGTGATGATAAATTCGACGGAAAGCTATCGATCTACCAATACCGGTAATCTAACAAAACTGTCACATGCACAGATATCGATAAGACGGGCATTTAAAGTGCACATGAAAGAGAGATGTACACGCGGTCTCCTTATCTGACCCTGTCGCCCCTATGTTGCCCACTTAACGGAACGCGTGTTTTATCAACACAAAAACAAAATATTTGAACGAAAAAAAAAATTTACAAACCGACAACGAGATAAAGCGATACAATAACATATAGAGTACTCGTTGTTATTAAAAACGTACTGCTAGAGAAATTAATAAAAAATAATAAGTATATCGTGTAAAAAGAAGGGAACACGACGCAAATGTTTTTCGGTGCGTTTGGGGTGACGGTTCGACAAGTACTACAGCGGTCGGAGGTGGCGAGTGCCGAGATGGGTGAGAGAGAAAAATCTAAAAACTCTTAGTGCAATTAAAGGCGTGTGCCGCCGAACTTCCGCGTCGCAAACGACGATCTGCAATGGGCGCGAGATATGGGCCGTGGAGGTGCGGATGGACGGACGGACGGATTTGGCGTGTAAAAATACATACCGGTGGAGTTTGGCGAATGTTGTGATCCTCGGGATGCGGACCTGGGACCACCGGGCGCTTGGGCGGTGGGACCGGTGGAACCGGGGGGGCTGCCGCGGGCGCTCTGCGGAGAACCGGGCGGCAGGTTATCGGCGACGCTCATCAGCGCCGCCATCGGGTTGCTGGGCCCGTTCTGCTGGTTCTGCGCACCGGGCTGCCCGCCACCGCCGGCACCGATCGTTTGCATGGACGGCGGTCCGTCCGTTGGCGACCCGGTCGTCCGGCCGGCGGCCAGTGGCGATCCAGCCGCCGGTCCGTTGCCGTTGGTCATGCACTGTTGTGCCACGGCGGCCGATGCATATCCACCTGGCGCACAACAAGGGACAATCAATAAACAAAAAAAAAAAAAAAAAAACAAAAAAAAAATAAATAAAACTGGCTTGGTGTCGTCCGAAAGATAGGATAATGTGTAGTAATAAAAGATGGTGCCCAAACAGATAGTGCAGATAAGTTATTATTTTACAGAAACGAAGAGTTAGTATATAAGAAAAACGAAAGAGAGAACGCAAGACGCATACGTATAGTCGTCTGTGGGCTGTTCGCATGGGATGATATTATTATTATTATAAATATGATACCTATGCCAACTTTAATTTTCCACTCATGACCGGTAAAAACGCGTTTAGATTTTGAGTCTTTTGACCACGTGTTATTTCGTTGTTAATAGGTCATTGTTGACGACAACACGACGGTTACCACCCCCCCAACCGGTAATGCGATCAAGAACGCGCGCGGAGTGTAATATCCGCACTCTAGTCAAAACGCACGAAAATGCACCACCGATCGGCACCCGTCGTCAAAACAACCCACCCGGCACCCAAACAACAATCAATCACCGCGGGACAACGAGGGAGAAGGGTAGGACGATCGGATCATCCGATGAGCGATTGCCGTAGAAAACGCGCGCAAGCGCAATAGAGCGTACTGCGTGCGTGTACATGTGTACGCGGCGTTACGTCACGAGACTCGTCGCGTACGAGTAACGTTGCCAAATCTATAAGCGATCGACCGACCGCGCTCGCCCACCCTCCAGAAACGCGTAAAATAAGTCGGATTCCGCAATCCGTCGTAGCGTTGTGTATTTTTAGGGCCCACTACCAAGGTCATAGTTCTACCGATTGAGACGAATTCGTCAGATCGACCCCACGGTTAATCGTGCCTCAAACGTAGTATTATTATTATTATTATTATTATTACAGTGGCCTGCCGGTTGAACCAGGTCGGGGAACCGGATTCCATGACGTCACGGCCCATCCGTCAACCAACGTGTTTCTGTTGGCCGTCGGCGAGTGTAATATGGTATAATATTATCAACGATCTCGATACGCTCACGCCCCCGTGGTCCACACAACCATTGCACCCGACCGCTCGACGCTATATATAACCGCACGCCAGCCATACAAAATTACTACGTCACAGAAGAGCGTATTCGATAACGAAGAATAATAATTCTTCGACGATAGTGGTGTTACAATAATATGACGTTATGCCCGTCTACACGGTTAAGAAATGCTATTCAACACCACAATATATTATAATTTGTTTTTCGTAGCGGTCTGGATAAAATCACATTTATTTTATCTTATTTGTCGGGACGCGAAGAACCGCGGTGGTCATCGATACACGACGACGCGGTCGTCGTCGTCGTCACCGTCGGACGGAAAGCGTTAAAAATCACCGTGCTATCTACCACCGAAAGGTTTATTATTTAAGGCGAAAAAAAACAATAAAGACACTTACTGGACGTCTTGAACGTGGACGTGTCGAACGACGTGGTCCTGATCGGGTGTTTGGGTTCGGTTTTGAACGACCGCTCGACGAACGGCACGGCGAGACTGACGGCCGGCAGCGATTCGCCCCTCTGCAACGGCGGCCGCTGCTGCTGCTCTTCCATCATGCGCTTGTTGCTCTCGGAGTGGTGATCGTCGTCGTCGGCTTGCGTGCTCAGCCCGCGTTTCAGGCCCTGCGAGCCGGCCGGGACCCGGCTCGTGAGGTGATGTTGCGCCATGTGCTGCTGCTGTTGCTGTTGTTGTTGTTGCTGCTGCTGTTGCTGTTGTTGCTGTTGCTGGCTCTGAGACAAACGCACCGACGTCCGGCTCATGGCCACCTCGTGGTCTACGTGACCGCCGCCCGGCCTACCGGGATATTCCATGAGCGTGGACCGCTGATGGTGCAGTGCCGCATAGTGCGATGTGGCGGCGGCTGGCGGCGGAGGCGGCGGAGGTTGTTGCGTCTGTCGCGCGGCCAACTGGTGGGCTTGCGGCGGCAATCCGACCACTTCCAGGGTGCCGTTTTCGTGTCGATGTGAATTTTTCGGGTGATGCGCGTTGACGGCGTTGGATCCGCCGCCCACGGACGTGGACCTGGCCGACTCCTGGAACCCGTGGGCCCGTTTCATTTGCCTGGCCGTCTCGATCACCAGCTCAATGCGGTCGGCACCTTCGTAGTTGACGCACCCGCGACACACGGGCTCGGTGAAATCGTGCAACATCGCCCACGGCATACGAGGCAAGTCGCACAGGTAACAGTGTTGTCGCTTACCCATCTGCATGGTCACCGGTTTGTTGGAGGACAAGTGCGCGCGGCGTCAGTATAATAGTCGACGACTAATATTTACTAATAATACAGAACACTTGGTGTTATCGTTGTGTCGTCGTCGTCGTCGTTTGATGTTATTACGCTACGAATAAACGTCACTCGAACAAAATCCATATGATCAAATGTTTTCGTATATAAAAAAAAAAAAAAAAAAAAACACGAAAAAACAAAACCAAATCGAACACAAAACTAATGGTAATAATAATAATAATAATAATCTGTACGCGCGAGAACACGAATAACGATCATGAAGAGCACGTACACGAGAACGTACACACGGAAACTGAACGTAACCGCGCCACACAGCGAGCGCGATGAACAGCCGTGGTCGTAGTGGAGTGACGTCGCTAGCGGTAATGGCGAGGGGCTGAGCGGGGTGGTGAGACCGGTCGAACTATGGTAACGACGGGTGGGGTGGGGGGACGGTAATGATTACGACGACTGTGGAGGCGGCGGTGGTGGCGGTGGTGGTGGTAGTGTCGGTGTCGGTGAGCGCGCGGGCATAACGATCGTGTGCGTGTGTTGTCGCAGCGCTGCCAACCTTTTGTTAGCGCGTCGATACGCGGGGTGAGCGGAGTTTCCGCGGCGCGGCGGGCCAATGAACAACCGGCTTCTCTGGAGCTCGACGCCGCGCGCGTGTGACGTATCTACCGGGGGACCCGACGTACGTGAGAGCGACCCTCCAGGACGCGCGCATGCGCGCCCGCCGTAATCGTACTCGTATTTTATTTTTATCATTGATCCGAAAACGCCGCGCACGCGCACACGCCGACCGTCACACGAAACAACACACCGCGCATGCCGCCGGCCCCGGTACCGCCGCCGCCGACCCTACTCTTCCTGGTATCTTCGTTCGGTTACACGTATTGCTATAGGTACGTCTACTCAACATGTTTTCACAACTTACGAAGTAATTAATAGGCTATCGGATATTAAATACATTTATGTTTGAGATTTTTAGCTTAAATTCTCAGTTGCATTAATAATTAGTGTTATTGTGGTTATATTCCATGTTATATTTAAAACGTTCTAATACTTTTACAGTGCAGACATAGTGCATTTATTTTGACAAGATTAATAATGTTGCGAGTTATTAAATAATACTTCATACCAATGCAGTGTATAGTGTAATGTTTAAAAATTCTATAATCTATCAATTTATATAGAATTTTAACAGCACTGAAATTCAGTTGCAATTTTTATATGTTTAATTGATTAATGGGTAGTCTATTCTATAATCAATGGTATAAGTTACCCTCATAGTTCTAACACTATCTTAAACTCATTATATATTGTAATTTCAGTTATTTGATATAGATTACGGTTAACTAGTAGGTGCCTAATTTGCGAAATGATAAGCAGCGTGAACTGTAATCTTGGTGGTCTGTAGATTACTCGAACAACTACATTTTATTTAAGTTTACTAATAACTTATAAATTATAAGTAATATAACGAATACTAATATAACTTTTAATGACATTTATTGAGCTATAGAAAAAGAAAATAATAGGCGGTGTTCCGTGGTTCATGAAGAATAATCGTTGGGGCTTGGTTATGCTCGTATACTAAGGATAATGCAATATAAACATTTTGAAATCGTGCATTGAAACGGTTGTACAACTTTCTAAAATGTCTGACAAAATATTTATTGGATCTTTGGATATTATTTTGTTAACTCGGAACGTGGTCACCAGTCTCTTTGTGACAAAAGAGCAATGCTGTGTGATAATAATAACTATATATTGTGAAAGTAATTTTTAAAAATAATATAATAATAATAATAATAATAATAAGACCTTAGACCGGTTTCGACCTCGTCAGAATATCACAGCAGGTGAATACAACTACGTGCTTGTAAAGGAACGGACGGTTAAAATAAATGGAAAAACAATGCGTTTAAGTTCTCTCACGAACGTGAGAGGTTGTTATTATGTTCACCTCGGTCGTAAGAAAATGACCTTGACATTGTTCAGCATCCCTGTTGATACTTAAACACAGAATCACTGGTAGTTGGTTTTATTACTACTATTCACTCACTGGTGGTCTCTCGGTCCTTCACCCACCTCAACCATTATAGTAACACTCTCCCATAGTAATAGTGTTGCCATCGCCTATAATACTTCGAACTATATTTATACGTGTGCCAAACCAGATAAATAATGTGTGTTTTGGATAGAATTTAGCGACACATTGAAAATATTAATATTTATCGTAGTCACTATGTCATGATTGATCATTATACGTTATATATATATAATATATATATATATATTATATTATACATTTAGTGTTTGTAAATTCGTAACATTTCTTCAACGAATCATATCGGAGCGAGCACCGACATCAATAGAATACAATAATATTATAACATAAAACTGGCAGCTTAAATAATAATATGATAAAACATTGTTCTACGTCGTGGCGACCGTCGCATTTCCGCGAACGCGGTGGCGCGCAAAGTCGCAACGATGAAATCTGAACACCGCGCTAAAAACTGAAAACCAAACGCGCAGCACGTCCGCAGCTCGCGGGATTTCGGTCGTGGTGTTGTCGCCACTGCACATCGGTTTTCCGACGTCTCGGTCGAATAGCGACAAATGCAATTTATCGTCGCAATAACAAAACACCTCAACAGTTTTCCGGGCCGAGGGATGGGGAGAGGTCGTTATAAACATGGCGGCGGCTTGAACGCCGTCGGATCGACATTTTCAGCGAAACGCCGTGCAATACTTCGGTGCCGTAGTACGTTACGCGTACACCGGGTTCACCATAGCACCACACACACACACATCCAACATCGGGGCGTTACGGAGCAAGCGGCGAGCAGTTGTTGATATTCAGGATATCGTTTGCACACCTGTGTCTCGGCCGTTCTCGTGGACGTGTATTGGATATTATTGTGTATATAGGTATACTTTTTATTATTTTCGCTCCTTATTCACCGTGCGCTCCTCTCTCCTGGCGCGCGCGACAGGCGGTTTGGTTTATCTCGCGTGACGTATCTCGTCCCGCCGCCCCGCCGGCCGACGTGCCACAGCCGACGACCGCCGTGTAACAACACGCAGAGCCGCCGTGTCCTCGCCGCCCTCGCCCCGCCGACAACGCCCGTCAGCCGAGGGCATCGCCGACGTCGTCTGACCCGGTTGATGGACAAGCGGAAGAGTAGGGTCGGCGGCGGCGGTACCGGGGCCGGCGGCATGCGCGGTGTGTTGTTTC